TTTAATAACAGATATACATATTACTAATTTAAAGTAATAGAAACGTTGAGTTTACAAAAAAAAACTTAATTAAAAAAATTATATACAATTTTATCCAAATAAGTATATAATACTTTTTATTATAATATTATGGGTAATATTCTCTCAATTTGTAGAACAGGAAAGCACATTAATTCTTTCCTTTTTCGCATTTTGTAAATTACCTTCACATTAAAAAAAATAGAAAATTGTTAAATTTATAATAGTAACTATGGAGAAAAAGATCGACGAAGTTATGCCAACCAAACTCTTCAAAAAAGGGTTACTGAATACACGTCTAGTTTCGAGATTCGGTTGTAATAAATAATATCGTATTTTAAAAAACTATGCGAAAATCAATAATTTTTTTAAAAAATCGATAGAATCACCATGATAAAAATATTCAAATGCGCAATTCGATTTTCCCATATTGTCAGAAATATATTGAAATATTTAAAAACCCCAAGATAATCAAAACCAGTTATTCAAGGCCGGATTTACGTATAAGCTAAATAAGCTGTAGCTTGGGGCCCTGAGATGACAAGGGCCCTCAGATCCTACTTTCCTCCCTCTTTTTTTAAAGTTTTATTCGGAGCTGGGATCCTCAGAAGTCCAAAATGCATTTCTTTTCTTTTTTACATTGTCGGACATAATAAATATAAATAAATGACTGAATAAAACAAAAAACTTCGTTGTCATTAGTAGGGAACATATAATCTTTCAGCAATTTTAGTATTAATAAATTATTTATAAATAAACAGTTTTTTCGTTTAAAAGGTAAAAAAGTTTTTTTTGCCCCATCATTCGATCATTAGACTATTTAAAATCTGTTTCTAAGGATCAGAATTTCCTTTTATTTTACTTTAAAATTGTACAAATAATATATTTAATGCTTTTATGTGATATGCAGCAGTTTTAAATAGCACTTTAAAATATCTAAAAGAGGACAGAAATTGTCAGTTCAAAAAAAAAATTAACTAATACTTTTGAATAAGAATTTAAATAACTACACACGTAACTCCTCGAAAATGTAGTAAAAGAGGTATACAAATTAACTGTTGCAAACAAATTAATATTAAGTAAGAACGAAACAAAAATGATATCGAAATATGCTGAATTACTAATGAGACCGGGAGGAAAGACATTGAAACCTATTTGATTGAATAGTATAACTAGAAGGTATTTCTAAAATTCCGAAATCTATCAGGCTTTAATTTTTTTTTTCTGTCACAAACTTTATCAGTAGTTAAAAATAATAAATTCATTAGATTTCAATATTGGTTCTGTTTTTTCGTTGATTAAATGATAAACATTAACAGATATTTGTCTTTTAAAACATTTCATTCTATAATAAGAAAATTATTCTACAGTTGTAATTATCTAAAACTAATTGCTAATTGATATAAAGTTTTAGTGTGTTCCATAGATATGTTGAATGCTCGTTTTGGCAGGATGCCCGGGACAGTTGCTCTTTCACATCCTAGCCACTATACACCATCAAGAGCAGAGCTGATACTTTAAACCCGTATGACATTTATTCTCTCTGATATTTAATAGATCTTTAAAAATATAAGCCGAAAATTTACATAAATGGCAACTTTTTTTCTTGCACTAAAATTTAACAAATGTACTTAAAATAATTAAAAAGAAAGCAAAAATAATGAAGAAATATTTTCAATATAAACATCAATTAAATAATATCAACTTACAAAATGTTCTTTTTATTTTTACAAACAGTATTAATATAACGGCCCTCACCAGCTCCTGCAACTGCTGGATTGGGTTCAAAATGACAAGGCTACGGAATTGAATATTAGTAGTCGTAAACTCGAAATTAGGTCGGCTGTGCAATGACTGTTGGTGACTGGTGCATGTTAAATCTTTCGGGTCACAAAGTCCTCCAAGTTCTCATAACAAATAAATACCTCTGGGTACTAATCTAGCAGTTACCTTGTCTTCTGTATTGGGTTCAAAATTACAAGGTCAAGGAGTTGAATATTAATAGTCGTAAACTCGAAATTGGGTCGGATGTGCAATGACTGTTATAAAATAAACTACAGTAGAACCTCGATCAACCGAGCTTCGATTAACCGAGGTTTCCGTTAACCGAGGCAATAACGAAGTCTAAGTTTTTTTTTTTCTTTTTTTTTTGAGACGATGCTACACCGATGGATCTCCTATTGCTCAAAAATTGGGGCTATAGGGCAGCCCATGATAGAAATTCTGGACTTTTGCAACGAAAGGTAACAGACTTTTTTAAAAGAATGTGAATTTAACAAATTAATGTATATTAAATTTTAAAAATACAATATTTTTTTGAGATTTGTGCTATTTTTGAGAATGCGTCTTTCGATATTTAACTACGTATAGTTAAAAAAAATTCCATTTTACTTTTTAAAATTTACAACTAGAGTTGATTTCCTTTTTAAATCTTTTTAGCTGTGAAACATAAGTCATATATGTTTAATTTATCATTTAAAAAACGTTTTATTGTTTTTTACTTTAAAAGTAGTTAAATTCGCAAGCACGTATGGTTTTTATACATGATTTCTATTAACCGAGATTTCCGATATCCGAGGTACTAGCGGTCCCAATTAGCTCGGATAATCGAGGTCTTACTGTAATAAATTTGGCCTGGATAGCCTGGTTGATAGGGCGTAAACTCAAAATTGAGTCGATTATTCAACGTCGGTTATAAAAAAAATAAAACTAATAATCAAATTGCATTTTCTTGTTTTCTTTCTAACTCTTTGCATATTTTCTACGCACATTCAAAATTTCATGTCTCTAAGTCTTATAGATTTTGTAACGTAAAGAAAAAACAATTGAGAAAAAAATTCGCGAAAAAATCATTAAAAACTGCAAATAAAATATATTCAAAATTAATCTAAAAAAAAACTAATATATAATAAAACTAAATATATAGTGGCCCAGCCCGCCAAATTTTTACTCTGTGCTTAAAATGTGTTTCTTTTGTAACTTTTTCCCCTCCTTCAAAAAATATGTGCAATAAAAGAAAGGTTCTACACAATAGTCTCATCACATTTAATATATTTACTTATTAATAAGTAATATTATCAAATTTTTTAATAATATAATGTTAATACTCAACAATAAAAAATAGTGACAGTTTACTTTAGGTGTATAGAAAAGGAATTGAACTTATAAGGGCCCGATCATTTTCAATAGCTTAGGGCCCCACCAAGTTTAAATCCGGCCCTGCGGTTATTGCTGAAAACACAATCGAAACACTACATGGATGATACTATTAGCATAAATTTAATGCAGCAAAAAATTATTATTTATATGTGCGATTCAAATTTCATGTGTAGAAATAATATGAACTGATAAATAACATTAATAGCATCATGATCTCTTCATGTAACCATAAAAGACCAAGCTTTTTATAATCTGTTTCACCAAGCGTTTTATAACCTGTGTTTCAATGTTTTTCATCATTAATTAAATTTGTGATATTCATCACAAAATTAAAGTGAAAATAAAACATTAATGGAGTAAAATTTTACACATTCTTTTTCTCTTTTTTTTTTTGCATGATGTTTAATAAAAGCATTGTTAAAGCTAACAACGCATGCTATTCAAAATTAAAGTAAAATCTTAAACAAAAAAAGAATATACAATACTGAATAGTTTGGAGGAAATGAAGTAGAACGTTTTCATTCTATGTTATTAAAAATAATAGAAGCTCAGATTTTTATTATAATTATCAATGCATTTTTTTTAAAATTGTGTGTGTGCATATGTAGTGTATACATATATATTTATACAGGGTGTTTATAAAGTCCCAGACCCATTTTGATGAGTAATAACTCATAAAATAATAAAGATAGATTAAAATTAATAACATAAATGTTAGATAGACTCAAAAAGTTTCATGACCCTTGTCAATGAATTTCCGCGTGTGCTCCCTTCGTCGCACGGAGAATATCAAGTCGATAGTCAATTTCACTCTAATTTGCGGCAAACATGTCGGCATCCACAGAGGCTATTGCGGTTGTAATTCTGGCTTTTAGGTCATCAATGTTCAACACGATCCTCCTGTAAACATTGTCCTTTAATCCCCAAAGAAAAAAGTCCAGTGGCGTTATATCATGTGATCTGGGTGGACAAAGAATTGGACCTCCTCGCCCAATCCATCTTCCTGGAAAATGGTCATTCAAAGAACTACGAACGATGATACCCCAATGAGGTGGTGCACCATCTTGTTGCAAAAAGACATGTGGCTCAAGCTTTTCTAGTTGTGGAAATACGAAGTTTTCCAACATGTCTAAGTATACGACTGATGAGACAGGAAGATGGATTGGGCGAGGAGGTCCAATTCCTCGGCCACCCAGATCACTTAATATAACGCCGCTGGACTTTTTTCTTTGGGGTTATAAAGGACAATATTTACAGGAGGATCATGTCGAACATTGATGACCTAAAAGCCAGAATACAATCGCGATAGCCTCAGTGGATGCCGACATGCTTGCCGCTACCTGGCATGAAATTGACTTGATATTCTCCGTGCCACGAAGGGGGCACACGGTGAAGTTAATTGACAAGGGTCATGAAACTTTTTGAGTCTATCTAACCATTTATGTTATTAATTTTAATCTATCTTTATTATTTTATGAGTTATTAAACATCAAAATGGGTCCAGGACTTTATAAACACCCTGCATATATATAGAATGTATTTAAATGAAATTAACTTTATGTTAACGTTTATAATTTTTAGGCTAAGCAGCAGTTAAAATATAAAGAGAAAAATATTTTAAATATAAAAAGTAAATTAAATAAACTTTTTCAAAGGCTTTTCTGAATCTTTTAAAATATGAAACTGTTACTCCTCCATGACAATAATTTATATGATAACTTCTTTAATGGGATAAAAGCTTGATAAAAATATATTTATTTCTTAGAAAACAGGACATTCTGGTTTTAAAATACAAAATAAGTTAAAAATATATACATATGATAGCCAATAAAATACTTTTATAAAAAGCTTTAGGAATCAATTTAAAAATTTTATTTCATCTCCACGAATCTTCAATGTTTCAGAATCCAATTTGGGCCCAGCTCGTAACTGTAAGAGCATAAAATTAGTTAGCATAATGTAAAACTTTTTAATTGAAATTATGATTCAAATATATCAAAGAAAAACATACTTTTATCATGCTAGTACGCTCATAGTTGGATCCACCACAATTCCTATAAATTTTTAAGAAATTATTAATGAGATAAATTTTTTTTTTGTTTTATAATTGTATACTTCACTAAAATTTTTTTTATTAAGAACAGGTTAAAAAAAATTTTTTTATCACCATTCATTTTACTTAGTTTAAATACTTTCTATCTAAATAGATAATAAAAACATGATAATTAATGTAATGGTTTAATGAGACGCAAAAAAGCTTTTTTAAGTTAAAGAAAAAATAAGTATATTTTAGTGATTTCAAAAATTAACAAATATATTTTGATTTATAGCAACAGTAAATAATTATTATACCATATCATATTCAACTAAATCTAAACAATCATAAATCAACCATAGTTTTTCTAAAGTAAGAACACCCCTAGCCATTCGTCTGGACTCGTGGCGGTGACTATGGTAACGAGGTATAACCATTTCAAGTAGGGTTGTGGGGTTGGCAAAAAAAGGGAATATTTTTCTTTGATCTATTGTGTAAGCCCTAAAGTGAAGAGAAGCTACCCTCCCTGAAATAAGCAATTCTTGTTTTCATAGCAGCAGACGACCTCAGACTTTGTGGCGGGGGAGTTCTTGCCGTAGACAAACTATAAATCTAATTGTTTTAAATATTTACCGGCATGGTCGTTTAGGTAATTTTGTGAAGCAACAACTTCTATTTTTGCAGTCCTTACAAACAAAAAATCTTTTAATCGCTTTGTGGCGTTTCAAAGGATGTCTTCGATCTTTGCACCTATCTGTAGCATGATGAGCTGTATATTTGCACTAATAAAGAAAGAAAAAAAATTTAATTAAAATTTTTTATTCAAAATAAAATTGAATTGCACTTTTAAACAAGAGGATTTCAAGTTTTGCGCAAGGTCACATCATTAAATTTGAGAATCCCATGTGTGACATAGCGCAATATTGTTTAAGAAATTCCTTAGCAGAAGAGAGATAACAGATGGATAGATTTTGTTTAAATATGAAATAAAACTAACATTGAATAATTTAATTTATGCATTCTTGTAATGTTTGAAACTGATAAGACATGATTATACTGTGATGTTAAAATCTCCAACCATAGAAATAATTTAAATGGCTATATAATAGAACGGATTGACAAATAGTTCTGTTCTTACGTTGTGATAAAAGTTATATTTTTACTTGAAAAACGTTTAAGCCCTTAAGTTCGAAAAGTAAATTTTATTTAATGCAAAAGAAAAAAAATTGACATTAAATTATTAATTTCTCTCTGAATTATGCTAGTGCTTAATTTTATCTTACTTAGTTCGATAATGTCAGGAATAAATTAAAATAATGAAGAAAAAAAAAGTTTGATAGACGTTTTTTTATGGATATATTGGCTGCTAATATAAAATTAACATTATGACTTTTCAACATTGTAAACTATACAAGGATTTCAAAACAAAGGAATATAAGTAATTTAGAATTTAATATTTTCGTAACGTTTACTAAATAATTTAAAGTGATTTGATTTTAGAAAAAATATCACTAATAAAACTTAAATCATGTTTCACTACAATGCTAAAAGCTTCATATGCCATCCTTTTTGGTTGAGGCACTACATCCATGCTTCATGGGATTTTGTCGCAGCCTAGCCAGTAAAATTTTGTACTGCCTGATTTTGCCTGTTTGACAAGACCTCAATTTAACATTTAAGGAAATTTAGTATTTTTTAAACAAAATCATTTAAAATAATATCTAAGGTGTTATCATATGTTGAACTTAATGGAAATAAATAACTAGAAACTGTAGAGTAAAATTGATGGTGTAAAAATTAAAACTTTTAATAAAATTTTTCAAAATAATGGCATTGCCAAACAGCTCATAGTGTCTTCAATTCATCTTTAAATGATGTATGGCAACTATCTTCAATTATTCCATTAACTTCCTATAATTTTTGATAAATGGCAGCTTTAAGTTATTTAAGAAAGTACTGCCAATTTTTAATCATTAATCTGATTTTCTTCAACTCTTTCTTGTATTTAATATATCTACATGACATGGCTAAGTAGCAAGCAGGATAATGTAAGCAGGGAAAGTATGACAAGCTGGGAAAACAAATGTATTGTAAACAGTCTCTATTTCACCATTTTGAGATTCACAAGCTTCGAATCGAACTCCAAAATCGACGTACTTGAGTTTTTATCTAAGATGAAGAAACACAAGTTTGTACCTATGAAATGTCATGTCTCATGGAAAAGAGGAAACCTTAGTAAATACAATTGGTCTATTAAATAGGACAAAGGAATAATATGGTTCTCATACTTAGTAAAGGGAAAAACTTAACATGTTAATTCTTGCATACTTGAATCTAAATATAGGCAGGGAAGATGGGAATAATAAAATGTGAGAAAGTGTTTTTAATTTTGAATAGAATTTAAGGAGAATTTATATAAAGAAATAACATAAAAACATTAGTTAAAGCTTTTTATGCTATAGAAACGTTACACGATTATTATGTTGCATGAAATATTTTACAGAATTATTCATTAATCGTTTTATAAGCATTAGCGACAAATTAAGCACTAATAAATATCTTATAAAATAATTGTTATGTTTTCCAGTTTTTAAACTATGATGAGTGTTAAACTGAACGACATAATTTTGGGGGACATGAAAATATTAGCATTTTTGTGGCCTGCTGAACATGCACTGATCACCCCTAATTTAAATAAAGTATATTGACGTTGCAGGGTACCAAAAATAGTTAAAATTAAATTTTAAAGATTTATTTTGCATATTGTAGGACAACTATGAAAAGATATATATAAAGACTTACTTGTTTACATGAGACAACATCACAAACAACTTCTGTAGTTGATGCCATTTTTTCCTCCATTTGCTCCTTTTTTTCTAAAGCACTAAAGTAACTTTCTTGTTTCTCAATTTCTGCCTAAATTATAGGGAATATAAGAAGCTAATTATTTTCATGAAGCAAATGTTTTTTTACATGTTAATGAGAAAAATAATTTAAATTACGATAAGTATTCATAATTTTCATACTATAAAAGTAATATAGGCCATACTGTACCTTATTGTAATTTAATTTCTTTAAATTTGTTGAATTATAAATTTAAAAAAACACACACACAAACAAATGATTTATATAAGGAAAATTTAGTAAAATACAAAGGATTAAGCAGCAATAATTTAGAATCAAAACATTAACTAGCAAATAGAATTATATTAAATTAAGTTGCATTTAAAATGTTTTAGCTGTGTACTTAAGATTTTGTGAAAATTGCTTTATACTACCTTGTAACAAATAACAATATGTTTGGTTTCATATTTAAAATTCAGAAACAATTTCAGCATTTAATTAAGAAGAATTAACGATAAAAGTTAAACAATTTTTCTTAAAAATAAAGTATTATAGATACATTCTTAAGTTTGAGAAGTGCGGTTTAATTTTTTTTGTTAACTAGGGTTTTACAACGAATAGGGAACAACTAAAAGGGGCTTAATGCAGATAAGAATGATTAATAATTTTTACATTGTAATTTTCTTTAACTGCCTCTTGTAACTAAAATAAATTGTGGTTTTACTATCAAATAAAATTTTAATTGCACCCATTTAGTTTTTAAGTTAAGTAAAATTATGAAGAAAGGTCTGCTCTCTGTCAAAAGTTATTTAGTAAATTAATGTTATCTGCTCAAATTTAATCAACACTGTATTTAATATCTAACTGATAAATTTGCTACTTTGCTTTACAATACAATAAGGGTATTGAGTTTGATAAAAAATAATGGAGTTTTTATTTATTTAGCAATTGGTTTGTAATAATTAATATTAAAAATTTTAGTAGGAAACATTAATTGTTTGAGTTTTAAAATTGATGATTTGAAAAAAAATTTTTTATTTGTGATTTCTTTTTAAATATTCACAATTTTTACCAATCCTCCTTAATTACAATTGGAGTAAAAGCACTTTTCATAAATTGTGAAAATTATGAAAAGAATGAGAATTATGAATTATAATTATCTTGTTATATAAGTTATCCTGAATAGACATGAGTACTACAGTTATTACTTTATTATGGTTACAAAAAACTCTTTTAGTTTTGCTTTATGATAGCTTCATTTTTCTTAGTGTAAATTTTTTTTGTTCCTTTTCAGACATATTTTTTTTTTTTTTTTTAACTAAATAAATAAAACCAATTTTTCAACATCTCTTAAGTCCAGGAAAAAGAAGGTAAGGGAAATTTTTTTATTAAGTTGCATTTTTTGTATTTTAATATAGCTTCAATCTTATTTATTAAAGATAAAAGGGGATAAAGATTTGCAGTTTGCAAAAAGTATTTTTTTATCATAAACTATTAAAAGCTCAAACTAAAAAATAAGTATATTTAATTTATGGAAAACTAATTGAAACATGCTAAAAAAAAAGTTTGTGCTACTTAGCAGAATTCTGAACGAGCTTTTAATACAATTGAAAGAAATAGAGATTTTGAAATTTTTGAGTTAACTTTAAAAAAAAAAAAATCTGAAAACTTTGATATGTTAATTTTAGATAGTTGTGCTTTTAATGCAGCATCACAATATGCAGAACAAGAAAAAATTAATACAATGCTGTAATTGTAAAAAATAAAATAAAAATTTCACAAAAATTCTGTGTTTTAAATCTCTGAGGTCTAGGTAGTAACCAATAGTAAAGAAAATGTTAAAAAAAAATAGTATCACTATTGTTGAGAGGCCAGTAATAACCTCATATAACTAATAAACTGTAAACGTTTTAAAACAATTTTAAATGGACATATCTTACCACTTCTACTTCATATGCATGACTAGATTTTCGATTCAATATTGCTTTTATTTTTTCAGAATTTATGTCAATTTCACCAAGTTGGCTCTTTGGTATATCAATTTCTTCATCATCCCCAACATAATCTACAAAAATACACATAAAAAAATAAGAATTTGTTTGCAATAAAGTAGATGATAGGGGATGAATTTGGAATGAGAGTTCTTTGTTGTACAGTGAACATTCAAAAATTTAGAGGGTGGACAGGAGTTCATAGCATTATAATCATCCGAGATTAAGAATGGGAGTATGAGAAAAAACAGAAAAGTATTTCTAAGTTTACTTTGCTAGGATCATAGTTTGACTGAATTTAAATATAACATACATAGTTAGATATAGCAAATGATGCCTCTTTTTGTCCACCTAGCCTTCCAAATGGCTGCATGGTCGGAGAAAATTATTTAATTTGATATCCATTCAATCAATTAACAACATTTGCTATCCATTTTGTGTTACTAATTAACACATTAGTTTTTTGTATATTTTAATTTAATAACCACAAAAAATAAGAGCTAAAGCAATCTTGATAATTTTATAAGGTTACTTTAATAATTGTTGGAGTAAATAATATGAATTCACTTAAAAAATTTTGACTGCTTTCAAATGTTGCATAATTTAGATAGAAATATGCAAAAAGCAGCATTAAGTGTTTTTCCCAATAATTTATTATTATAAATAAAAATGTAAAAATTTAGCTAATGTAAAAATTTAAAAATTTAAAAATGTAAAAATTTAGCATAAAAGAGCTCATTTTTAATAATAATAATAAAGAAATAATACTTAATTCTAAATTTCCTAAAGCTATTTCAGATTATAAGTACTCAAAAGCATTATTTCCTATTAAATTGCATACTAACTACCAATAAAATCTGAATAGTAAATATTTTATATTTTTTAAATTTTGTCCCATATAGAATAATCATAATTTCAGTGTTTTCACTACAGCGCGAGAACGCGAGAATCTCGCATACTATTTTCTTTTCTCGCATTAAAAAATGATTACCGCGAGAAATTCGCGCATTTTATAAATCAATTTCAAAATTCGCGAATTTCTTGCATTTTGGAAAAAGCTTCGAATTACGCCATTTAGAAAAAAATCCGTTTCACTTTTCTTCCTAAATCTTTCATTATTTTCATCATCTTGCCCCATTATCTAGCTTCCCTATTCACCAGTATTGTTTAGAACCTTTTCGAACAACAGAACACAACACAGAAATTATTGCATGTCCATTTGTGTACTTACATTTGTGCTATATTTACTTTTTTGTTGCTTTAGTCTCAAAAGCATTAAGTAAATCCTATTTTTTTTAAATATATATAATTTAATTAAATAGATTTTCCATAATTCAGAATGAAGAATTGACAAAATTGGAAAGTAAACTTATCAACTGTGAATTAAATTTTTTTTGTCTAAAATTTTTCTAGGGTCACCATTGAGTAATTTTGTTTTAAATTCCAATTTTTGTTTACTAGAGTTATCAGGTATCTTTATGATTGGTAGTAATATATAATCTCAAGAAAATGAAGTGAAATGTTGTAAAAGAATAATGGAATATATGAAAACTTAAATAAAAGTGATCTAAAAATATTTGCATAGACTATGCATAAGTTCATAATGACATAAATTAAACTCTATTATCGCTAAACATTTTACCATTGTGTTCATCAATGCTTTTATTTAAGGCAGCTTGGACCTTCATTGAGATATCAGCTGAAGTTTTTACAGAATTTGGATCTTGACGCTTTATTGGTCCTTTGTCTTGAATTTTTTGGATAGCTTTCAACTGGAATGTATAAAAAAGATCAAATAAAGTCTTTGCCTAAAAATGAATGCTAAATAAAAGTTCAATACATTGTCAATGAAGTTATTTAAAACTCCTATTTTCAAAAATTCTACACTTTGATAAATCAGATAATGATTTAACTTTATTTGAAGAAGTGGTGTAGATTATTTTAGTATGGTTCAAAAAACATTTTGAAAATAAGAATTAAAATTTATTTTTATATATCCATTTACAAGAAAAAAATTACTGACAGTATAATTTTTTTACATGGTCAACAATATTAAAAATAATACAATTACAAATGGGAAAATGTTTTCATTGTAGCATCACCTTAATAAGGTGTTATTACTGCATACCAGGGTTCGTGATTTCGTTGATTTAAATCAGATTTTTTTGATTTTTATTCAAATACACTGTAAGAACTTTCATTTATGATTAAAAAAACTTTGTAAATGTTTAATCAAAATTAAATTAATATTAAAACTATATTATAACAATATTTTAGAAGCTCTAACTTACTAAAATAATTTTTCATTACAATACATAGCTTTGAATACATAGCAACCATTCTGAAATAAATGCATAATTGAAATTTAAAGATTAGATGAAATAGAAAATTTAAAGAATACTTCAGGGGTCTGTCTAGGTTTTTCTGTGAGGTATACCTACTTTGTGAAAATTTAGACATAATTTGTGAAAATTAAAAATCATATCAAAAAATCAACACAAATATGGTAAAAATATGGATTTATTGTTTCTTACCAGACACAAAAATAAAATTTTAAGAAAAAAGTATTTCGTTAAATTATTCTACCGTTTTTCCTAAAGTTGAATTTGTGAAGGTACTGCTAACTATTATTACTAAGTTTCAATTAGTAAACCATAATTTTAATTTGAAATTGTGTTTTTTTTCTCTTGATTTTTAAAATGACAAATAAATGTAACAGATTGTGTTTATAAATGTAGACATTCCTCGAAAAATAAATAAATATTTAACTCAATATTTTTATATTAAAATAATTATTTTTAATTCTATATCAAAATAGATAAGTTAAGCTAAAAAAAAATTTTTTTTAATTCTATGTACTCATTGGAATTTTTTTCCACAAAATTTCTTTATAGAAAATCAGATAATGTCAAACATACTGTAAACATATTATAAGAAAAAAATACCAGTTAATAACCCTACTGCATCAAATAGACTTTGATAGAGTTTGAAAGGGAAGAATGACACTATATTAGGAAAAAAACATCTGAATTCATCAGCCCCCTTTTTTTTTCTTTTTCTATTTTTGGCATATTAGGGTAATTTCTTTTTAATATAACCTCAAGCCTCAGAAATATACATTTTCCACCAATAAAATATCATGTAGATTTTAATTCCACGCTTTTTCATTCAAAAGGTGGAATTTTAATTAACATTATTTGCATCATTTTTTGAAAAAATCATGCTTATTTATTACTTTCTACAGTTATGCAAGTCTATATTAAGACAGCATTAAATGTTTACTTTAATCTGTACTTTCAATCTCAAGAATCAAAACATTTTTAAAAATGTAATTTCAAATGTGTTGGGATTTAAGAAACACCAAGAACGAAAATAATTTCCTTAACTAAAATTAATTAATGCAACAATTTATTTAAAATAAATAAAACTAAGAAAACAAAATAATAGAAGTATCAATAATTTAAAACACTGATTTTTAACTTTTAAAATCAATATATGCATTTAAAAAGAAATAATTGATTTAAATCAATGATTTTTTAAGAAAATCATTTGATTTAAATCGTGATTTAAATCAAGCTGATTTAAATCAACAAACCCTGCTGCATACAAATGATCTTAAATAATATACATTACTTGCTAATAGTATTTTATTTATATTAGACTAAATAGACTTAATAGATACCATTAGGCAGTTTTGCTTGAAGAAGCAATGTTTTGATATATAAGATACCAAAACAATATGTCTATTTAAATAAAATTCCCTTAAATATTTTGATTTGTCAAAGATCTGGTAAATTTTATGGTCACAATAGAACGGACACTTATTGCTTTTTTCATACAAACTTGATTTGCATTAATTCATTTTTATATGTTTCTGTTTTGTCACTATATGTTTCTTTTTTGAATCAAAAATTTAAATTTATGAATACAACCTAAATTTAATTTGTTGGTTTAGATATTGTACAGGGGAAAAATATATATTTTAAAATCTGACTATCAAAAAAAAAAAGTTCTACTCAAAGAAAACTGCTAAACACCTTTCTCCTAAGTTGGAAGTAAAAAATTACATGACCTCACACTTCAGGTTTTAGAGAAATAAGGTATAGACAGATGTAAAGTTTATGCTGTCTTTAAAAAATTGCTTTCAATTAACTTTTTATACTGAAAGGCAATGAGATCAAATTTGAGGAAAGGACTGATAGTTTAGAAGTAGTAAGCATTTTATTTACAAGTTGACTAGTTGACAAGATTACAAGTTGACAAGAAACTTTGACTAGTATCTTTTTCTGAAATAGATATCTAGATATGTAAAGTATTGTTTCTGACAGATTTTAAAGCTAGTAATTTTTTTAAAATTATTTATAAAATAGTTTATTTATTTTTTATTAGTATTTTAATATCTATTTACACTTTTAACATTGTTATCATATAGCGATCAAAACAAGTAAAGTATTGTTTTTGTGTATTTTTTTATGCTTAATTGAATAAAATCAACTCAATTTAATAACTAGTTTAAAAGAAAATAACAATGATAATAAATAAATACAAGTCAAAAAAGTACTTTTTATATTCAAGAATTCTTGATACTTATAAAATTTTAGTTCTGTTGCATAGCATTTGCAACATCTGATTCAGCTTGAAAAAAATACTTAATTTCCTTAGATAGCAGTTTTATTATATTCTTAAATAAATGCAAGTCAAAAATTGTACTTCTTGTACATAAAACCATTAAAACTTATAAGATATAGGTTATATCTTCTTGAATTTAGCGTTATGATATTCTGCACTAAAAATAATTTAAAAATAGCTGCCATAAACATCATTGCATTTGTCTAGATAGCAACCAGATAGCTAATTTAAGTATATATATATATAAAAAAAACACACACTTTTAATAAATAAAAAGTTTTGATCCTAAGACTAAGGTAGAGTCAAGTAGGTTAAATTTGCAACAGTTAAGGTTAAATTTGCAACAGTTTGACTTATTTTGTTAACCAAATTTTATTTTCATTGATTCATTTAGTTTAATTGTTCAGAAAGATTATTGTTCACAAGAGAAAGTTATAGTTTCCACATAACATATACACATTACAATTTAATATTTGCAACAGAATCAGAGTATAAAACAACAAGTTATATCATAAATTATTTAATAATAGTAATTCCTTACAGCTTGCTTTTTTTACATATTATTACAGGGATGAGAGTAGTCAGAAAGTAAAAAAGAGGAAATCCAAGAATATATATATATATATATATATAAATCGCACTTTTTTTGTCAAATTTTTGTTTAAACTTGTAATCCATGTGATTATAAATCCCGATATGAGGCTTTTAAATCACGTGAATATGAAACTCTACATCGAATTTAAAAAATGCGAAAATACAAATCATGATGCGTAATTTTTAGATCAAGATGCATAATTTTAAAATCGCGCGATATTACAACCGCAAAAACGAATCACGACATTGGATTTTAAGCTCGCGTAGCTACATAGGGTTTTAAAAGCTCGTAAATACAAATCGCGATATTGGTTTTTTAAATCTCGTAAATAAGAATCGCAATGTACAATATTTAAATGGCCTGAATAAGAATCGCAACGTTCAACTTTTAAATCAGGTAAATACGAAAATCGATGTTTGATAATAAAATCGCGATTTTAAAAATGCAAAAATACAAAACACGATATTAGATTTTTAAATCTCGTAAATACGAGTCATAATGTACGATATTTAAAAAGCGTAAATAAGAATTGCAATGCGCAACTTTTAAATCAGGTAAATACGAAAATCGATGATTGATATTAAAATCGCGTGAATAAAAATCGAGATATTTGCAGAGTCTGGACTTGGGATTTCTAAAAGGCTTGTTTGAATTGTTTTTTGTTTACACAATAAATAAAAATTTACAAGATTAATTGAATGAGCAAATAAATATTTTCACCGCAAATCCACCTCTTTTTTTTTTCGCTTTTTTTGTTTGCTTTCACTCCAGAATACAAGAAGCAGCGACGTCTAAATTACGAAAATACGAGCTATCCCGCTGACGGATAAAAAATACGGAAAATCTTATTTTCTGTGCGTGAAATCGGAGAAAATAGCTAATATAATTAGACATGCGGAAGGATTAGCAGCTAGGACGTAGTTTGAATTTTCTGTTTTTCTTTGAAAATCGTAAATAAATATAATAATTTGACTTCAACCGCTGAATTTTTTTTTTTTAAAAAATGGGATATTTATAAATGAATAAAAAAAAAACGAAACTTTTAGAGAATCTGAGATTTTGATAAAAAGGCTGAAATTCGAGAGACAAAAGCGAAAAAAATCTCATCCCTGTATAAAGGTCAACCAGTTTCATCCCAAGGAAATGATTTTTAGAGAAACTTCAGAGGGAGGAATGAGGACTTCAATAATTTCGCTCCGCGGAAAATTAAATTCCTCATAAAATATTTTAACTTGTGCAAAAAAAAAATTTCAGCTGAAATTAGCGGAAAAAATGGAAAAATCTGAGAAAAAGCGGAAATCCGCGAATCCGCGGAAGAATCTCATCCCTGATAATATATGCAAAAATAAGACACTAATTACTAAAGAATTTCCTTCTGATCCTTTGTTTCGCATTTTTGGAAGCTAATGATTTGATAAAAGTATGAATAACTTCCAATTTTTAAAGCAGCATTTTATTAAATTTATCTAGAAGACAAGTCATTTTGCTTTCTTTATGTAATATTCTTTTGGAAAATTATGTTTCTAAGGATGCTAGACAATAATTTAATTTCAACAAATGAAAAAAGAAACATAAAAAAAGTACATTTTCTAAGTACTTTAACTATTGAGTCATTTGCTGATTAAAACAAAAGTTTATCTGCTCTTCGGCAGTTTTCTGTTGGATGACATAGAGAACAAAAACTGCTGCAAGCAAAAGTAACTAGGTTAAATAGTCAAGCAGTTCATAGAGAAATTTAAAATTGAGAGTTAATAAAAATGTTGAAACAAGCCTATTTATGACATTTTTCTCTCAACAATGTTAAAAATTTAAAGAGAAAGGAAAATAAATCTGAAGATAAATAGTAACTGCAATATGATAATAGTAACACCATGTAATACAAAATACACACTTCATTTTACTTTCCTAATAGTTCGTTAACTACGAAAAAGTAAGCAAGTCAAAATATTATCATACAAGCAAGAAGTATACATATTTGCTTCCAAAATATTATTTTACTAGTACATTTAGATTACTTTTAACACGCTCTCTACAGACTTCATAACAGTCTGTGATAATCACTAGAATAGCATTAGGTGTCGGCAAGTGACGCAGTGAGGATAATAAAAAGAGATAAAAAATAATCTTAAATTAAATAAATAAATTAATAATTGAAATAAAATGCACAATATTATAAAGGAAATAACAGTATAGAATTTATTTTGAATCAAAATAAGACATGAATACATACCTTTGCAAGATCTTGTACAGAACAAAACTTAGGTCTCTTTGATAAGGAAAAATCTAAACTAACAGACTGCCCAGGTTGTAATCCTCTTCCAAGTTCCGGAACAAGATTTTTCATAATCATACTATCATTTTGTCTTTGATTGGGGCTTCGAATATTTTTATAACTATCTCTCATTTTTAACAAATCCTTAGTTGTTACTTCTTTAACATTTTCTCCTTCTGTAAATCCATTAAATGAAGGAATAAATATAAACTTTTGTAATTCACCACTTAAGTTTAAACTTAAATAATAAAAAAATTCCGTTTATAAAATAATTAATTTCACATTTAAAATAATGTAATATAAGCTGGCATAATGTAATATAAGCATAGCTGGCTATGTAGATAATGCAGCCATTATATACAATGCCTGGGACTTTTAGGTAAAAGTATGAAATATAAGAATTGTTAAGTACTTTACTTTGGCATTGTATACACAGACAAAGGCTCTTTAAGTAAAGTACAAAATATGAGAATTACAGAAAAAGACATTGAGCATTATTTTTAAAATTAAATCATTGAGTTAACAATCATCTCAAGGAAATCTTGATTAAGGAAATATTCTTTTCTCAATAAATTCATTTTTTATAAGAACACAAATTTTACTTAATTGGCTTATTTAAACATTATTTATAACGTCCAATTAACACTAGTGTTTAGAATACGAGGAAGTGGTCAACACATTACTGCTGGGTTATTATCCCTGCTATTACTAAAAATTTTGGCATTTCTTATTAAGGAAAGCAAAATAAAACAGGAATCTACTTACAACACCAAAAAATAATTTTCAATTAACCTACACCAAAAAATCAATTTCTAATAAATCATGATCATAATGATAAAAAATATGAAATAATCATACTTTATACATTGCTGATTCGCCAATGTAGGTATTGCATAGGCAAAGTAAGAGTAAAAAGTTCTATGAATGTTTTTTTGATTGAAAATACAATATTTTTGTTCTTTGTACGTCTTCATCAATGTTTGTCCAACATAGGATAAACCAGATTTTCGATTGAATATTAGGTCATTAGGAGGGGGGGAACAGGTATTCTTTGATATGATGGTATGTCACTTTAGGAAATAAATACAGACCATTTAGACGATAAATACTGACAGTGATTTAATAAAAAATAAAACTTGAAAACTGCATGTCATTATATGTTTCAGCAAAATTGAAAATAAAAAAACTGGAAAAAGAAATCAGGTAAGAGAAAGAGTGCATGTAGATCGACTATGAGAAAGCCAAAGCCCAGCAAGGGCTTTAGAGCTGGAAAAGATGATAGACGGTGATATAGCTCAAAGAACATCCAAGGGCTATAAGGAAAAAGAAGATAGCTCAAAGAATCACTCATGATTGGTATGCCAAAACTTAAAAATGAAAAATTGTGGTTTCTCAGTTGAGTTTAATGCTTTTAGTCGAAACTAAATGATTTCTACCAATAAGGGATTGAAAATCTTGTAGAACGTTGGAAAGAAGTTGTAATTAATTGAGAATATATTTATTAATTATTTCACTATATATTAATTGTTTAATTTTACTAAAAAGAAACTTTTCAAACATTAAAAAAATTTGGAAATTTAATTGCCAACTCAGTATGTATCATCATTAATAATTTTAAATTCTGTTTTTTTTTCCTGTTCTAAATCTAAATGATTGAATTTTTGAATAAAATCTGCTAAATGCTATGCCAAGCTTTATCAGATAAATTTGCTTATTTTTCATTGTGTTTTTTAAAGTTTAAACTTAGTAAATAAAACAAGGAAATGGAAATTATCACAGAAACATGCCTCTCTTTTTTGTAAACAATAATTCAGACTGCTCTTTATCAAATTGTAATTAGAAGTTGTGCTGTTTGTATCATTTATTCCTATCAAATAAAAATATGCTTAGAAGTCTGAGAAATTAGAATCAAACCTTTTTTGGCCTTTTCTTTGATGATATGCTGTAGTAGATTTCTTGATCCTACTGTTGGTAATGCTAATTGATTGTTTCTGAAAATAATTTAAAAAATATTGCTATTTTTATAATAATAATAAGAATGATAAAAAGCTTGGTACAATGAAGTAATGCTCACATGAATTCTGAATTTTTTTCTGCAGTTGACAAGATTTCGGGACCATAAAGTTCAGTTAACTTTTTTATTCCTTTATTTTTTCCTTCTGACTCAATTACCTCTGCTTTTCTCTTTAAACCAAGATTCATAAGAGTAAGTTTGTCTTTTGAAGATATTTGCTTAGTGGTCCTCTTACTTCTGCAATTTATACATAAATACATATTTTTTTAAAATCGTAAAAATTTGATAAAATAAATGCAAAATACCACTAAAATGTGAAAATGAGCGAAAAAAATAAATAAAAAAGGGGAGGGGGAAGCTCAAACTTCATTTTTTTTAATATGACATGTCTCAAACAAATTCACATGAAAGAGGCAGTCAAAATACAAAATCTTCAAATCCTAAGAAATTCTATGAGTTTTGATTGCACATTATTTGTCAAATGCAAATATATTAAGCAATATATAATGATGATGAAGATAAACTATCAATACTTGCATACTTAGCTGAGGTAAAAATTAAATAAAATAAAAAATTTTGTCCTCTTCGTCTTCATATTTAAAACTGCATTAAAGTAGACACGGTCAGTTGCATATATACATTTTATATTGCTAAACTTATTTTTAATACAATTTTTCCACATGAAACAAGTTTGAAAGTGAAAAAGAAATGAAACATAATGAAGAATATTCGTTTAAGAAGTACAGTAGAGAACCAATTATCCCGGATGCTCGGGACCATCGCTATCCCGGATATCTGAATTTCCTGGTTTTCTGGATCGACCAAAAAGTGTCGTTAATCGATGTTTTATCAAACCCGAAGTACAAGGAAAAAGTGTAATGCATAAAGTAAGAGAAAAAAGAAAGGTACTCCTAACTTTAAAAAGAAAAAAAAATGGTAGAAGTATAACATTTAAAAGAATAAAAAAATTTGCAAGTTTAGACAAGAAAATCAAGTTTAAAAAAAAACAAAATTCTCATATTTATTTTCTAAAAATAATTACAATTCCTAAATTAAATAATATAAACAAAACGAATGATTAAATAACGCAATATATTTCATACCTAATTATACGGGGAGAAACGATAAAATAAAAGGAAAACTTATTAATCTAAATAAAAACACTTGAAAATTATCGAACCGAAACGATAGTTAAAAAACGGCACTAGCATAAATATTAAAACCTGGAACAAGGCAAGATCAATGGAATTTATAAAAAAAAAAAACCTAATGATAAAATTTATGAATAAAAAGAATTAATTTATTGAGTGCGAAATTTATCGCGAAAAGAAAAAAAATCAAACGTAGTGGAATCAGAAAAACAAAACTGTAATCTGCTTCATAAAATAATCCTATGTTTAAGTTAATAAACAATTCTCCTTCTATTTTTTTTTTTTCTTTTTGATAAAAACACGATATTTAATTACAGCAGATGTGATTCCACATCAATAAAAACTTGCAAATGAAACCGCACTTTCAAAGAATGAAAATTTATTCAGAAGAAAAGGATTTTATTTTTATTAATTGAAGTCAAATAGATAAATATATTTTTCTCATTCGTCTTCTGTTCACTGATATGCATGCAATGCATTTTCTCCACCCCCCTCGTAAATCAAGCAGAAAATGAAATCAGCATGCCACACCCTTGAGTTTGATTGATGGCCTAAAGAAAAAAATAAAACAGTCCTCCCTTCCCTTCCTTCAAGGTCACGGAGGAAATGATGTTTCTCTGGGTAAACGGGGAAAAAAATTTCCCCCTTCCTTACATTTTCCTCTACTCAACTTCAAGGATGAGTCCTATTTCTGCTTTTTTCGTTCTAGTTTAAAATGGCGGGAAAATCGAGTAAAATTTACCCCGGTTTTCTGGTTTCCCGGTTATCTGGATACCGGATAAATGGTTCTCTACTGTATTTGTAAATGAAATGTTAAGAGTTTGAAATAGTTTACATGAACAGAAATAAAATGCAAATTTATGTACTGTAGTGTGTAAAACTATTCTTAATTAATTGCATTTAGTATTGCAGAGAAAAAATTATAGCTAATGAAAAGATTAAGAGCTACCTTATATGAATTAAAATGAAAGACATTTGAGGAACGTGTATTCTATATGCAAACAAAATTAAGTTGGGCATTGAGCATACATAAAAATAATGAAAATTTGTTTAATAATGACTTCAAATAGAAAGAAGTGCTTATATAAAGTTCGGATTGTTTTAATTTTAACCCATTTTAAGTCAAGCCTAAAAATTTTATAAAATGTTGTATTATTTTCATCGAAATATACTACTTCAATTACATTCATTAAGACACAAAAAATTTTTGTGTAAGAAATATAAATGGTGCGTATTTGCTAGATCTACCAAATCAATGGACAAGCAATTAGTTGAACACTAGTTTTTTTTAAGAAATTTGTTTTATTTCAGAACTTGCAACTTTAATCTATCATAAAAACATATGATTAATCTCAAATGAGATAATTATACATTTTTAAAAAGTTCAATTTGTCAATAACAGTTTCAAGTCAAGAAACTAGAGTAGTTAAAAATTTCTCAACAATAAGTGTTTACTCCAATTTAATTACTCATATTTAAAAAATATCTTCAGAACATTTGACAATAGCAGAAAAATAAAACTAGTCAAAATATATGTAACAGTGTTTTTAATTTTTTTTATTTATTTTAAAGGTACTGTTTACGCACCTGTGGCCAAAAATGCTTAAACTAAAGTATTTATCTAATAATTTCTTTCTCTTTCTGTTATAAAACAATTTTGTTAAGAATTCTAATGTTTTGAAAATAAAAACTAAACATTGAATAAATTACACCCAATCAGTTCAGTAGCAATTAATTAACTAATTAGTTAAAAGATAAACACAATGCAAAAACTAAGTATTCTATACTACTTCATTACTTAATTTTACTTTGTAAATTTTATTTAAGTTTGCAATTTGGGGTCAATTCTAATAGTAACATAATATTATACATTTAAAGTTTAGCTGATTACTTTGGCAATCACATTCAACATATATATAATGAGCCAGTTAATAAATTTAATTTGTATTAAAGTATTTGCACAATAAAAATGCTAGTATAAGTATTAGTTTTAAATTACAATTTATTTGATTTGTTTCTGTAGAAACTAGATTTTTTAATGCAGTTAAGCTTGAAGGAGCCACATATTTTGTTATACCATTTTTTCTCTTTTACACATGAAGCATACATGAATATTTCACAAATATAATAGTAAAATTTTCAATTACACTAGTATGGTAGATAAATTAATTGTGTTACTTTTTTTATATATTTGCTTAAACATTTTAAAACTAAAATTATAGAAAAAAGCAGAAAACTGAAACACCCTGTTTGTATAATAGAAAAATAAAAAGAAAATGGTTTTTAAAATTAAAAACATAAAATTTTATTCTAATAAATCAAAGAGTAAATTTTTCTAGTTAAACTTGAAATTAAATATGAAGTACATACTTTTCAGCTGGAGTAAACATCTGTCCACCATAGATAATATTTTGTTTCTTCAAAATTTTATTTTTAAGGCTTGGCTCTCTTCCAGAATATCTTAAGGCAAGACATAAAATTTTAATTTAAAAAAAACTTCAGACATCTTTAAAAAACAAATTTAAAAATAAAAGCATAAAAAATTACTAATGGAAGCAATAAACATTTATTCTCTTGATTTCAGTTAAAGTTATGATATGATTTGGTTTAAATAGCTTTTGTAGAGCTTTAGCAAATAAATCTTAATCATGATGTGAGATCTCTAATTTTTCCTTCAATATCAAAATTTGCTTTTGTAAAAGAAGGGTTATTACGCTGAGCTATCCTCCCTGTTGCTCTTTATTTCAGGCTTGACATGCCCCCTGTCAGCAAGTGAGTGGTGTATCACAAACAGGAAAAAAATATCTAATGACAGAGAATTAGTTAAAATTATTTATAACATGATGCTTGCCAAATAATTATTTGAAAAAAAAAAAAAGTTTTTGTGCAACAGCCAGTTTTTGGTCAAGGTGGTCACAGATATTAAGACCTCATAATTACAAGACAAATGCAGGGTTTCCACTACCATTATCCTTTTAAATAGTAGCTTCAGAAGCCTTATAAAAAATAGTAGCCAAAACAGTCAGAAAAAGAATTAAGTTACTTTTCGTCCATGTAGCAGACTTCTAAATTATTATTACAATAAACCAACTAAAAAAAATCACATTGCATGGTACAACCATTAAGTATAAAAAATTTAAAAAAAAAGCATAGCCAGATTAGTTTTATGTTTCCAAAAAAATTAAACTAAATTTCTTAACCTTTTTCCTAAAAAATTTATTTACCATCTACTAATTCAATTACTGCTTCAAAAGCAAAACAATACTTTTTTCCAACTTTCATGAATAAAATTTAAAAAAATTAAATAAAGATAATTTTTTATAGCTTGAGATAAATGAATTTTAATTTTGGAAACAGAAAGTGATTATAAATTAAAAGTGAGGTTGAAGTATATAATTGTTGCAGTCAAAATTGATTTTTAAAACAAATTAATATGAACCACAATGTTTGATTTCAAAATTATGTGATTATGTATCATGATATTTGATTTTTAAAACACATGAATATAAAACATGTTTGATTTTAAAACTGTGTGAATATGACTCGCGACAATTGATTTTCCAATATGTCAATGTGAATGGGGATCTCTAATTTTTAAAATGTGTAAATATGAATTATTATATAATATTTTTATGAAACAAGGATACAATATTTATTGTTTGATCTTTAAATTGCATGAATATGATTCCCAATACTTGATTTTTAATTCCTGAGAAAACGAACCACTATGTTTGATTTTAGAATCCTGTGAATATGAATCACCATATCTGAAGTTTAAATTAGGGGGATGCGATTCACGATGTGTTTTTCATATATAGAATTCTGTTAAAGAGGGTCCCGAAGATCGCATTGATTATGTATTCCACAGTGAGCCCTGATGTGCAAATTGTAATTCACAGAGAATAAAAGCAATTCTGTAAAAACAAATCTTACCAACTATAAAAATTAATGGTAGGAAGTGAAGCAAATCATAAAAAATTATGTCACTTATTAATAAAATGAAATTAAAATAAAGTATCGTTATTTATTGGGGATACTAAAGTTAAATCAAGGAATTTAAAGATCAAAGAATCATTGTCAAACATGCCAACCTGGAAAATTTAAGATTCAGAAGTTTCTTCAGCAAGAACATAGGAGGGGTAAAATAAATATAATATGCGGCATATTTAACACCTCTAAGGAAATATTTTAAACAAAATATTACATAAATAAAGGAATGCAAGATATTTTACAGAACAAATTGTGGAAGAAATCTAATTTTCAATCAAGTATGTTGCTGTAAAAAAAAAAGTCTTAACACAAAATTTATATATAATATTTACAATAAGCTTTCATTAAATTTATTTTTTTGTAATAAAAAAAAATAATAATCGGGGAAAAATACTGGTTTCTATTCCTAAAATTGGATTTTTTTTAAATCAAAAAACGAATACCATTGACTTTTCAAAACATTATTTAAGACTACATTATACTACATAAAAGAATGTAATATTTAAGTCGCTAAAAATTATGTCAATTTATTAAAAATAAGAATTTTTAAATTAGTAAAAATAAGAGCCTTTATATTTATCAAAAAAGCAGTTCTTAGTGGAAACATGGTAAATTTTGCTTAGACAAAAGAAAAGTGTTTTACATATATAGAGATAGGGAAAAGTTATTGAAATTCCAAAGACAAAAAAATTTTAACTTACGAAGCTTGCAGTTCGCTTCGTTTGGCACTGAACTTCTGATACTCTCTTTTTACATGAAAGACACAGTATTCACATTGAGATCTAAAACAAGTACACATAATGACATTCTTTTCACTTACAAAAATAGGAATCAATAGTATATAAACAGGAATAAATATAAATGTAAATAATTTAAGCATAATATTTTGGCAACAATAAATAATGCCAAATACAGTCAGACCTCGATATAAGGTCATCTGCATATAAGGCCGACCCGCACAGAAGGTCACTTTTCCAAAGTCCCGGCTCACTGAATAGGAATTCTTTGTTACAGATTATTGGATATATGGTCAAGTTTTAAAAATCCTTATCGCTCATAAGGTCATTTTTATCATTTGAGGAGAGGGGAGCTCTTTTCTAACAAAAGTCTATTTATTTTCTTTACAAGGCAATTACCACCCTCGAGTTCCATGAAAATGTTGCAACCAACGAACAAGCTAAAGTTTCTGAAATTGTTTCACAGTGAGAACAATGACAGTGATCCTGAGACTGTAGCAAAAACCCAAGCGGAAGCCTTCAATGCAATAAATGACATATGAAATTTTTTTACAAACCATGAGGGAGCTCAGGAACATTTTGAGAAATTACAAAATCTAGAAAACATTGTTCGAAAAATTAAACCAAAAACCAGACAGACCTGAATAAATGATTTATTTTAAATAAGGTAAGATGTATGCATGTATACTTTGAGGAAATTTGTAAACAGCTTTATTTTAAATAAAAAAAATTTTAAAAATCTAACTTTCTTTAATTCGTTACTAATTCTGTTAAAATTTATTGACTTAAATATTTAATTTATGGCTGATCGTTTTCGTTTGTATTACCATTTTCAAAAAATCATAATGTGTACTATTTCCGTGCTTAGTTACTAACTGCTAATGAATTGGTTAAAAGGTCACCCAGCTTATAAGGTCACTTTTGCGATGTCCCTTAGGGTGACCTTATCAGGGGTGATTGTGAGCCCAAGTCAAAATTCTGGAAAATTTCTTGAGTTTAAAAAAAAAAAAAAAAAAAAGTTTTAAGTGAAAAATTAGAAAAAAATTTAAACAAGGTTTTTTTCCTCTTTCTCAATATTTCTTAGTTTACTTAAAATATATTCAAAATTTTACACATACCTATATCATTTACACATACCTATAATGACCTGAAGAAGTAATTAAAATTTACACATATGTTTTTCTTTCTTGAGTTTATGATTATAATAACCATTTACTGATAAAAAAAATTAATATTTATCTTGAATATAAGCTTATAAAGTATCTGGCTCTTCCTTACAAACAAATAAAATGAACTGTGTTTTTAAGTTCCACCTTTTAAAATTTGATTTCCGGAAACTTCTGTGATCAATGATTTTTTTAAACGTCTGGACCTTCGATATACGGAAACTTTAGTATCACTGTTAGCAAAAAATCCGGAAGTTCGCATTTTTTCCGGAGTACAATTAGCCCTGCTTTATATCGAGGTCTGATTGTATATGTTAAAATGAAGATATTAGTTAAAATACTTAAAAAAAAATTTTTGCAAACTGGAAAAGCATTAACATTTGGGAATAAAAATATTACTAACAATTCCTTTGAGAAAAAAATATAAAATTTTTTACAAACATGCCAATAATGTGAGAAAGATAGAGTATGAAAATTTGGTTTTAAGCTTTACACTTAATTATTATAACAATAGTTTTTCTTTACAACTTACTTTTTACTACAAATGAACCAATTGTAGTAAAAAGTAACCACAATTGATTTCATTGTTCTTTCTGCTCAGTATTAGAAATTTGAGTTCAACCGATACTGGACAATGCCAGAAAACCTTTTAAATACAGTGGAGTCAGAAGTAGAACAATATTTATTATTCTTTAAAATATTTGACATTTACAAATGTTTTGAAGGTATCATCAATAATGAAGAAGAAGAAAAAAAGAGTCATAATAAACAAACTGAAGAGCAGAAAGAGGGATGCCACTATTCTGGATGTTTATAAACTTTTTAAGCACACTAGCTAAAACTTCTAGAACCTTTGAGTATTCTTGTTTGAAACTCAGTTACTTATGTGTGTATCTTTAAAAATTAAAAATTATATTTCCATGAATGATATTTATAATTTTAAAAAATATCACATCAATAACAGAAATCACTTACACATTTACAGGGACTGTACATGTGGTTCCATCCTTTCTTCTGCCTTTACAATGGCCAAAATCTTTAGATTTGCCCATTTGCATCAATTTTCCAGCATGATCAATCGAAAGAGTCATGTTCCCATTTTTCTAAAAAAGGAAATGAATAATTTAAAATATACAGTTATCTCTTAAGACTATATACAGGTTTCCCACTCTCTTAACAAAACAAAAATTAAGGACTCTTTTTTTAAAAAAAATTATAATTAAAAATAGTATGATTGTTTATCATCGATTATACATATGCCACCAGTGACAATGCAAATTATTTACCTTTGTAAAAAAATCAATAAATAAAAAAATAATAAAAACACTATTTTATTATAATTTAAGAACTGATATAATTAATTGTATTAACAGGGTTCGCCAAAGAAGTACCAGGTAATTTTTGCAAACCTGGGTCGTGTTTTTCATAAAATATTTTCAGACTGTTAATTAAGTTAACGTCTTTCAGATTGTAAAATTTAATGTATGAAACTAACCTGTACTCCATTTTTAATGATTTCATTGAAATTGAATTGTAAAATTAAGTGCAGAAATTAAGATTTGAAATTTTTTCATGCATATTAAAAAAAAAAAAGAGTAAATAACAAAATTCGGAAAGAACATTAAAATAATTATAACAAGTTTTTATATTCTGCTACTACACCAGCAAATGAATCAGATTTACTTTTATGATGAACTTTAACAAAATTATCTCCAGCCAAACCAGTTATTAGGAATTAACATTAATGCTACTAAATATTCTGGCGAAAAATAGGAACTAATTTTAAAGCAACCAAAAATTTAATAAAAATTAAAAACAGTAATGCTAAGTTGCAATGTTAACTGAATAAAAATATTATTAAAATCTAAGGATCTTTCAGTTGAGTAGATTTATATTTTATGTAACAATCTGCTTATCCTTAAGAAATAAAAATAATAGCATAACAAACTAAAACTTTAAAAAAATTTTTACATTGCAACAAAACAAATTATAAATAGTTTCCAAATACTTAACATTCTTGTTGGAAGCAAATCATGTTTTTTTATTTAGTACTTAAGAAAAAAAATTTAAGTATTTTTATTTTAAAAAAAAACTTGAGATTTTCATCAAAAACCCAATAAACTCCATGTTTTTGATGAAAAACCTAGGTGGACTAAGATTTTTCAAACCCTGTTTCTTACAGATCTGTTTACTTTTTAGTACAATCATGAATTTAAAAAAATTTTATGCTTACCATAAATTTACGTTTACTTTTTACACATGGAAATATTATTCAAATTTATTTAATTCTTCAAGATTTTAGGAAATAGTTCACGTTATGGATTCCTTCAAAATTCAAAAATTTTTCTGACACTTTCTTTCTTAGCGTTTTACTTAATCCCTATAAGCAGATGCGTTACCAGTAGAACAGAATTTCTTCAATTCCGTCAATTTTGAAGGTTAGTGTCAATCTTCTACTTAGATACCTTAAAACTTCCCCCGGCCAAAAAAAAAAAAGCCCTATCTTTTCCATGTGAAGTATTACGTCCACACTATTCTTTTCTTTTAGAATGCTTCACTCTCCTCATAGAGTATCATTCTGGGCAAAAAGGCAGAATATATTAATGATAGAACCAATATATTAATAACTGGATGTACTTTCCTCCCCTTACCTATGCCCCTCCTACACACAAAAATTCTTGTCTCTCTAAAATGCTTTACCCTCGATGCATGGTCTAATTCTAAGTGATAAAAGGACAATTTGTTTTAAAAAATTGAATTGAAAAATTTTTCCTATCAACTATAAGTAAGTGATGCTAAAAAATTAAGGACTTTTAAAAACCTTGTACCAAAATTAAGCACTTTTAAGGGCCCTTATTTCACAAAATAAAAATTAAGCAGTTTTTAAGGACCATGGGAACTTTGATATAGAATAATATTTTTTATTTATACTTTTAGAAGTAGTAGTAGTCAAAAACTAAAAGGCATGTTTCAATATATTACTGGCAATTGAAATTAAATATTGTATAACTGTTTAAATAGTTTTTATGAAAATAAAATAACATAATGAGTTAAGTAAACTATTTTTTTTCTAATTTATGTTTAAAATTTTTCTTACAGTAAAATTTTTTTCCATCTTATAAATATTATTAATTTCAGTAATTTTCTAATGTTTGTTGGTAGTAGCTGTATTTTAAATGAGCATTAGGGCAAAACTTTTTTTTAACACAAATTCTGCAAATTTCAATGTTTTTCTGACAAACGTTGAAAATAATAGGCAATGTCTCGTAGAAATCTAAAACTATAAATATGAACAAAATTTTAAATAAACTACTTAAATAATTGAAAAAGATTTCAATTTACAACATATTTAAAAAAAGTTATACAAACAAACAAAATCTATGGAATTAATAAAATAATAATAACAAAAAATGTGTAGGTTCCTTTTCTTCACAAAAACTCAGAGAGTTTTTTTTTAAAGATATTTTTATCCCTGTGACCTCGAAACTTTGGCCCGAATATTTGGTCATGGTCCAACAAATCATTCTTGGATACAATTAAATAAAAAATAATTCATAAGTGGTGCAAAACAATATCTATACATAACATATACATACTAGTCAAATACTCAATCTCAGTACAGTGTGAAACTAAACATAAATAATTAATAAATTAGTATTAATCAACAGGCAATCATACCCAAAAAAATAAAGACATATGCTGCTAGAATATCATACTTACATCTTTATTATCAGGCATAAGAGATGGATTAAGAAAGCCAATAACTGTACCAACTGTCATTTTCCAATGTTCTGCATGAGCAGCTCCAAACAAAAACATAGTAACTACTTTTTCACAATCATGAAGATCACTCATTTTCCAAATTGAAAAATTCTTTCCCTATCAAAGAACATTAATGAATAAATTTTCATCTTAAAATAAATGGAAAAAAAAAGTTCAACAAAAATAGTTCTAAAATCTATAGTACACAATGTACAAATCTATAGTAAAAAATATAGTACACAATGTACCAGTGATGAACTATTAACAATTTAAGATGTTAAAATATGTTTGAAATCTTTGTAAAGAAATATAATAAAAAACTTAACTAATATTTATATAAATAAAATGTTTTAGTATAAAAATGTCAAAACACTAACATTCACAACACAACTATAAGAAAACACTAACATTCATTTTAATAATATATGGAAGGCTTTACAACGAAGCTACAAAAACAATTTAATACTTGTCTCTGAATAATTAAAAAGTAAACAAAATTAGTCAGTCACATATAAGGACCTGCTGATTCACCTATACAATTTCATACCATTTCTTGTTCAATGGATTCTTTTTCTACTTTAAAGATCATTTGGTTTTAACAAAATATTTATGAATAAAAATCACATAACTTTCAAACAATTTACACTACCATTTAGAGCTAAATTCTTAAATCATAAAATAGATTATAATGAACATTACTAAATAATAATATATGTCTCATAATTGAAAAATTTTTTACTCACACTTTTAGACGTTTTGGGGGGCAATTTACTAATAAGAATTCCGACAGTAACCCAGTCTCCTTCAATATCACCTCCTTTGATGAAATTTTTAATGAAAGACATTTTAATCAACCTTCGACCTTCCATTCGTTTCTGCATCATATCAAAGGAAATCAATGGATCTCTGAAATAAAAATTAAATACTATGCATATAGGAACTAATCTTTTAAAAGCACTTTTTACAAATTTAGTTTGAATATTTTTGGCATTACTTTTACTTATTATGCTTTTAACAAGCAAATAAAAAGAAGTTTTGTAATAGATTATAGAAATGCTTCCTAACTTTGCTTTTTATGCATATTATTGAGCCCTTGCTTGCCACAGGCATATATATATATGCCTTTCTGAAGTACACATAGCACATTGCCATGCATTTTTATCAGTAAAACAACTTCTCCAGCTTTAGAGTATAATAGAATGACCTTAAGATTGTTTTCAAAGGATCTCAGACAAGAAGGGGAAGAGATGAGGAAAGTAAATCACAGCTGTGCAGTTATTGCGTGCGTTTCTTTTGAGCAGTACATGTTTTTTTTACTTTTCTTTCGTTCCTGTTTTTGTCACTGAGTGAAATAAAAATTTTCATTTTTTGTGCAAATATGTCTGATATTAAATTAAAAATGACTGCCAAAAAAAGGTCAGAAATTTCAGAATATGACATAACTTTTTTACATTGATTGCAAAATTTTTTATTATTATTTTATTGTCAGGGTGCGTAACTTAATGATTTAACAAAAAATAAGCATCTTTTAAGCACTCCAAAAATATTTTTAAGCACTTTAAAAAAATATAAATAGGCAGAGTTAGAAAGTTTTTGACAATTGACAGTTTTATCTTGTTTTAACCGTCATGTCAAAAAAAAAAAAAACTTTTTGCATTGTTTTTGACAGGTGTCAAAAAATCATGAAATTTTGAATCATGTAAAACGAATGGCGTTTTTATACGCTAGGAACTGACAATACGCCGAAATAGATTGGGGTTGAATTAATTGAGAAAATGTTCAATATGAACTGTGTCCTTTTGCATAATTCGCAGCAAAAATCAACAGGGTAAAGGGAAAATATCATTTTGAAAAGGGGAAGATTCAGCACTTTTTAAAAACACCCAATGAAAAAAGAACTTTTAAGGGCTTTCAAAAAACAAAAATCAACACCTTTAAGCACTTTTTAAAAACGCTACGCACCCTAACTGTTATAAATACTATAATTTTTGTATTTCTTTATTTATTTGTTTTATTTATGTATTTATTTTTTATTTATTTATGTATTTTTTATTTTATTTATTTTATATATTTATTTTTTTATAAAGGTGAGAAGTGTTCAGATTGAAAAGTTTGTCTCTTCTTTTTCTCAAATACACACCAAAACTATGTGCCCCCCTGTGGAAATCGATGGCACTGGAGGTGGGCTGTAAAGGGGTTAATATAATTTTATATATCTGCAAAAGCATATTAGTAACACTTTCATAACTTTTTTATTGAGAATTTTTGCAGCACAAAATAAAATATGCTTTATTTTATAAAAGAGTTTTATTTAAACACTTTTACTTAAATAAGTATATGTATATTTAATGTTTAATAAATACAGAATTGTACATTTACAAAACAAAATGCTTTTATTCTTCAGAATAAGTTCTGTGTTCAAGAACTTTTATTTAAAGCAAAATATTAAATGTTACATTTAACAAACATATTGGAAGCAATTACTCATTTTATACTAAATTCTACTTAAATTTTAAAATAATTTGTTTTCAAAAATTTGTGCTTTAGTTTCTTTACTGACGAAGAAATTCCCAAAAAGCGTAAATGTTACAAAGTCTCTTAGTAGTTATGGAGGCAAAGTAGCAATTGCATATGGGCCCATGATTCCTAAGAGCCTGGACATTGTTAAAAAAATTACACCAAAAATTTTAATTAGAAATTTTAAAAATATGAAATTTTTGATGTGATAAAAAATTTTATATTCTTTTTTTTAACTTTTATGGTTATGAAAAATAAGATTCTTTAATATAAATTGTAAGAATCTTATAGATTTTCTGTTTCAGAAGAATTTGAAGCATAAAACAATGTTAAAACAATTTTCAACAAATGTTTTAAAATATACATTAAAATTTTTAATTTCAAATTATTTTTTATTTAAGTTTTCATGTTTTGCAAATAGATATTTTATGGAAGAAGGAACAAGTCTTAATCTCTACTGATATTACATTTAAAAATTAGAACAAGTGTAAAATTAATATATATTAAAACAGCAAAACAGTATGATGGGGAAAAAGGAAATAAGCAGTAAATGTTTAGGAAGAAAAAAGCAGTACGATATAAATAATAAATATCCGAACTTAGTAATGATAACTGTGGTACAAACTTGACTAAAACTGATATAATGGATGAAGTCTAGTAAAAATATAAAACTATAATCTATATAATTAAAAAACTTTGTTTATAAAAATACATACAGATAAAATATTTAAAAGGATCTAATGGTCATATCTTTGCATTGTATTATTATAAGGGCTTTATAAGATCAAAAGAATTTTTTTAATGCAAATAAAAACAATGGTGTTACTGTGGATAATTATGGCTATAACTATTAATATATTACGCATTATAATAATAAGGCTTCCATTAAAATGTATTTTACATCTGGATATATTTCAATCAATAATAGGATATTTGAAGATTAGATAGTTTTTTCTCAGTTTGATAACAATTTTCAAAAAACAACTGACTTACTATAAAATATTTTTTTACTTATTATTAATTTTCTTTTGAATTAGAATCTTTTATCTACTCACTGAGTCATTACTTAGCTGCTTTTACCGTTAAAACTAGTAGAAGATGAGTTATATACATGTTAAAAGCTAAACTTTATCAGATTCCTGTCACTTATGGTGCACTTTGGCTCATAACCCTTAGCTTCATAGTCATTTTATTAAAATAAATAAATAAAAACGTTTCAATCAAGAAATTGTACAATATCATTTCATGGCTCACTCATTATATCCTAAGAACAGAGAGAAATCAATGACTAACAAACAAAAAATGAATACTCGGTAGTTTCTGTAGAATATATTGAATGCAAATACGTTCCTTTTGTAAGTACATTTGATTTAAAAAAGTTGATCTTCTCTCAGATATATTTTTCTTCAAATGTTATTAGATCACAAACAGCATCCAAATAGTGAGAGAATATATCTTCTGTTAGTTAAGTTTGCAATTGGTTCCATTTTGCAAATGCACTTAACACTTTCAGTTTTATCCTACTAGCTCTGTTGTAATTTAAAAGACATTTTCAAATTATTCTTTTATTCATTCTGGTACAGTAAATATAATTTATCTAGAAAATTCTTCAAAGCCTTTATTTTAGTATGTTATGTTGAAACAATGTTTACACAAACATTTAATACTCTGAAAAAATGACTTAAATTTTAAATGATGCAAACAGTCAATGATTATAAACAAACTGCACTTTTTTGTATTTTTAGTAACTAAATTATTTGTAAGTCTTTTATTAAAATTTTTCTGAAGATTATATCACAATTAATTTCATAGTTAAAAGATGTTTGGAGTTATATCATACTAACTTAATCATTCCCTTTTTGCTAGCAAAAATCCAACTAAAAATTAAAAAAATAATAATAATAATACTAGTAATAATTGCTTATTATGAAGTATTTAAAAAAAAAAACTATTTAGCTCATAGCCAACTCTGGATTTCATACCATTTACTTGACTTTACCTTCATCTGATCCAATTAAAACAAAACTAAATTACTGGTAAAAATACATTAAATTTAAAAATATGATTATAACAAAATCGTACAAATTGTAAGACAAATATATGTATAAAAAAAACAATGATAAGAAAATTATAAAAGGAAAAGTTACTATTCTTTTTAATTTTAAGTACTACAAAAGTAAAAGCAAAAATTATTGTTTATCTTTGAATGTTAAACCAAAAAAATAAATATTTTTTTAAAAATTTGCAAACAAAAAAAAAAATCTCTTAATAAACATAAATGTAAAGATTAATTAAGTTTTTGCATTGTATCCGAGAAAAACAAAATACTTTTCAAAAATAGACCAATAATAAGAAATATACAAATTCATTACATGCCACTGTGGTAATAGTTAAAATTACAGATGGAATAACATTATGAGCTGCCACTGTAAAAAAGTAGGGCAAGTGTAAGCAAATTTGAAATTAAATTTTTGACAAATTAATGCTTTACAAATGACAGTAATATAATTTTAAAGATGAATAAGATTTTTTTTTAAAAAAAACCTAGTTTTATTTTTTAAAATAAATTATAGAAGACAAAATTAAGGTTTATTTTTTTATTAGAACTTTTTAAGTATTAGTGACAGTAGTCTAAAAGGCTATAAATGAGGGATTAAAAATTATAAATTAAAACTATTAGATGAAAAATACAAAAACTATGATTTAATAATTGGTAATCTAAAATTATGTATCAAACATTTTTACACATTTCAGACTCATATATCTTCAGAATTTTACTTTTCAACAAAATGTCTAAATCTCTATTTTGGACACAAACAAACCTCAGGCTCACATTAAAAGTCTTTGGCTTAAACCTTTAAAAGTGAGCCTAAGCTTACCCCTCTGGCACATGCATGTAACAGCTGAAAAAAATATTTAATGTGATAACCAAAATAACTTACACAATACGTATGCCAGAATAACTGTCAGTGTAACATTTTTCTGCACTTTTGGAATTATTTTTGTTCATTTTGGCAGAATCTTTCCCTGAAAAAGTTTTTTACTAGAAATTAACAAGATTAAGATAATACTAATGAAAAAAAAATTTAATAAAAAACAATTATTTATAACAAAATAGCAACAACCTCGAAAAGAGATTAAAAATTTTTTCAAACATAATGACAATAAGTATGTAAATACGTAGATAAAATGTGGAATTTCTAGTATATAGAACTCATGAGATAGAGAAATATTTTTAGCATGTTTTTTTAATAATAAATTGTCATAAAACACACGCTGAAAATGACAGATAAAAGATGGAATAGCAATAGAAAAATACCATAATTTATGAAATAAATACACTATAATTACGTAAAATAAGACCAACTCATAAAACACAGTTAATACAAACCAGAAGGTGATATGTAGCAGAATAATCGTCAAATAAAGGCAACTTCTGGGTACATAAAAATTGCTTCCGGGTATTTAAAATTTGCAAGTTTAATATCCATTCTATGTCTTGGCAGTTATAGTTGGCGAAACAGATCACAATGCAGAAATTCCCATACAAATACACATATAGACCCAGATTTCGCTTTGATAGGGAAAACTCGGAATAAAGATACTCCTTGAAAAAAAAATTTAAAGTTGCTAGTTTTTTTTTCTTCCTGCTGTTGTTAATTGTTAATCAATCGATGAGTAATAAGAGTAATTGCCAATCCAGAAGTCCTAGCTATTCACAACATTTAAAATTGTAACGAAATATTAAGCTTAATTTGTTTTACTTTAAAAACGCATAAAAATCTCACTGTATGATGATACAGTTTTATATATTTGTTTAAAATTTGGCAGTCAAAATTACTATCAATCTAATTTATTAAATCAAAAATAAAATTAAAAAGCATAACATTTTCTACCACTTTAAATAAGGAAAAATTATCTCCTGCCAAAAGCTACAGAAATCAGTAAATAGGAAAAGATTAGTGTGACTAGAGAGGATGATAATGGCACCCTTTTCATGCATTTTGAATTTAGAAAATAGTTATTTGTCCAACACTGCTAACAACTATAACGGCTTGTAAAGAAAAAGTTTGCAAATTAAAATAGAATATCTAAAAAACAAGCTTTGCTTAGATGACCTTTTTAGATTTTCTTGTGAAGAACCCGTTTTCAAGCTATAAATGGAAGAGCCAGTTTTGGAGACAAAAAGTACATAAAAAATTTACATTTCAAATACTTTATCTACAAACATTTTCATTTCTAAGAACCTCAGTCCAATTAACCTGTAAATACAGTTGAACCTGTTTATCTCACATCTCACGGGAAAGGCGAAAAATTTGAGATAAAGAGGTTTTGAGTTAAACAGGTACTTTAAAAAATTAGATTTAATTAAGAAATTCTATTAAAAGTGCTTTAATTGTTTATAGTAGAAAAAATAGGCACTTCTTTAAATTAATTATACCACATACATGCATCTACGCAACATTTCTCTAACATACATTTAACACTAAAAATAATTCTTCAAAGATTTTTGATGTATTACCTTATTTGTTTAGATTATTCTTTTAAGGTTAGAAAGAGCGCAAATCCCTCATAGCCTCTTTTGCATGCACTTTTGGTTCATCAATATGATCTTCAGCTTCTTCTTCATTCGATATTCCTATGACATTATCTGTGATTTCCGCATCTGTCAATGTTTCGTATGCTGCCCTTTTGTTCACTTGTGAAAAATCAATGTCAACATTAAATCCAGATTTTATTGCATTCCACTCTGGAAAATCTGGCACTGTATTTACAGCACCAACAGTTTCTTCTTCTTTACTAATGCCTTCAACCTCTTCATAGCTATTCTTAAAACCAGCTTTTTAAAACCATTTTGGATAGTTTTTAGACACATTTCTCCAGGCAAAACAATAATTCTGATAGCATCTAACATCTTTATTTTTGGAAGAGAACTTTTTTCATCAATGGCATCTACAAGTTTGCATTTTCTACAGCTCGCTTTAAAACTCTTAATTATCCTTTGATCCATTGGTGGCAATTTTGAGGTAAAAATGAATTTCTGTTCTTAGCTTTCTTATCTATGTTGAAAAGCTAACTACTCATTAACCCCTCACTTACTGCCAGAATCCTTGTATTCCTTTCTAGTTAAAGAAGTGCAGAGATAGTGATTGAAATTCCAAGAAACACCCCCAAACTGTTCATTCCTACTTCCTGTGGGTTCACGAAATTCATCTCTGTCTGCAAGTTCCATTGATAAAAAAAGTTTTGCATTTGTGCCCTATTATTAGAAATTGGAGAAAGAGAGGTTTCGAAAAAAAAATCAACATAAACGTGGAAAATACATTGATTTTAGATATAGAGGTTTTTGAGATAAAGAGGTTCGAGATAAACAGGTTCAACTGAAGTAAAAAAAACTGGAAATAATTAAGTTTTTAATTAAATTTTCAAGAAATCAATAGTTATTAATTATAGGTTGATAATTTTGTATAATTTATCTGTTAGTTATAATTGTATAATAAAGAAGCAGTAACTTACAAATGTAGTTTCTGCTTTGAAAATTTTTCCTCTATTTCAAAGTTCACTCATCAGTAAATTAATAGTAGGATGTTACCTTATATATATATATTATAAGGTAATATACATATAGTAAAGTCACAATAATTCGACTCTCGATTGTATAAGTTTCCTATAAATCCGAGCTAATGAGAGAAAAAATCAGTCTTGCTCCGAAACAATGACCAATGCATGCACAACACGTGAAATGATTACTATGATTGGTTTTATGACGATTACTAGCACTGAATATTGAAAAATAAATTGGTGTATCAAACACTGAAACTTGTGAACAGTGCTTTAAAACAAAAAACAGTAGACAATTATTTCAAAGTACAATCAACCTGATACCATAATATAATACATATTGCAACTTGGTGTAATGCAATAAATGAATCCTGATCATCAAATGTAAATAAATTTTCTTTAAATATAAAACATTTTTTAATTAAATAATGAAATTTAAAAATTGCTTTCCTTCCCTTTTTTAAAATATTTCTTACATTTTAAGTTTTGTTAAATTTGAGTTTTCGAAAGTTCAAGGTAGGCTCGGTCTCGTTAACTTTGAATTATCCATACTCTACCATATATATAGCACAAAAAAGACAAAAAGGATTAAAAGAAAAGCGAAGAAAATTAAGTAAAATAATAAGTTTTATTTATTGAGCATAAGCTGCAAGTATATAGAACTCATAAAACAAGTTAAAAATATAGAGGAAACATGGAATTTACAATATATTTAAAAACACACTTATTGGATTTTAAATTACATTTACATAAAATTACTATTAACACAAACTGTATAAACTTTCACTGAGGAAAAATGAAATAAATAATTATTATAATTTCAAATATAAACTTACAAGTCAAAGATCTTTTCTGATTGGCAGATGCAAAAAAACTTTTGCCTGAATTTTTAGAAGCTTCAGAAATTATACTTTGCAGTTCTTTGCCTTCTTTTGAGAGATATGCTTCACTTTCATCATCCATACTGTCATTACCTAAGCTATCTATCTTAGATTTAGTTGAGATATAAACTGAATTTGTTGCTTCTGAAGGAAATTCTAATGGTACATCTTTCAATACTCTACTAACACTTTTTACTGTAGGTACTTCTTTACTTTCAACTTCTAAACTTTTACCCTCTTTAAATGGTTGTTTTTCTGAAGGTACCGAAGTATCATCATCTAATAGCTCCATCAGTGAATCCAAATCTAAGTCTTAAAAAATTAAGACAGAAATTAAAAAAAAATAGCATTAAAATAAAATTATTTTTTTTAAAAGAACAAAAATATATTCAATATATTTTATGCTTTGAAATAAAATTATATAAAGAAAAGACTGAAATATAAAAGAAAATTTGAAACACTGTAATTTATGAACATAAGTAAATGTTTTTTTACCTTCGAAATCGTCCATTTTTGGCAAGGCAATGACAATCAAAATATTTATGATATGAAAGCGATTAATATAATTATTAAGAAAAAGATATTTGTATGAAAATTAAAAATAGTGAAGAAAGGTAATCAGAAAATGCGCCTTTCAAAGTTTCCAGATACCGATTTCGCATTATTTGTGAAATGCTAATTTTAGTCATTAACACTCCACTTTTAAAAATTCAAATATGTTTTATTTTATTTTATTAAAATTTATTTTTTATATGTAGTTTCATGAGAAACTTTTATAAGTTATGGGTTTAGACATTCTTATGGTCTTATGCAAAGAACTTTAACTATGTCATCTGCAAAACAGAAATAGGGCACCATAAACGCATATAGTGCTTTCTTAAAAAATTGATTGAGTGGAATCTTCGTACTTTTTCACCTTTTGTGTCTCATCTGTTGCGTTTATTATATTGAAAAAAACGAACTATTTACGAACTATACTTTGGAACGGCTTTTTAAACTTGTATATTGCGCCGGTCACCCACTGAATCTGAAATAAACAATAACAAATGAAGTCGGAAACTGAGCTTGAATAAAATTAAAATATTATGCCTCTCTTTTAACCATCAGCTTTCATCAATTAAATATACGGTATCGATTTTTATTTTTACTATTCGTTTCACTCTAATAATTATCATTATCGATGTCTGCAATTGATCTATTTGTTTTCTTTATATATGAGAGAAGTTCATTCACAAGATTATGTTATGTCTTACTATTTATTCCATTTCTTATTCATTCCATTTCTTAATTATTCAATAAACATTTTAACTTGCAAGTAGTAGCAATATTTTCTTTTCAAAATTTTAAATTTGTTGTTTAATAATGATGTGCGTTATTTTAAAATTAGTCTTTCAGCTACTGAAAAGATTATAAGTGAAAAGATTCCATTTAAGAAAGAAAAATGTAATTAGAAAATTAGTCTATGAATATAAGTATCCTTATTAAATTTAAATTAACATTAATTCTATTTTTAAAATTTTATACTTTTAATATTTATTGACTATAATTATTCAATTCTTTTCATTAAAATAACTTTACTAATCACTGAAGATTTAAGTCTTTCAGCAAATGCATTGCTATACCTTTCATCAATAGCCGTCTGGAAAATTCTTCATTGATTTTTCATTTTTATCTTATTTCATTTCATTTTTATTTAGTTGCAATTATAAGTAGTCAATGGGTAAATAATTGCTGAAATTGTTGTATATTAATCTTTTTAGATTAAAAGATGGCATATCCAGTTAGTCACAAGACTGTATTTGTATTAGACCATGGTCCCAACTTTATGGGCTCATGCCAACAAAATATGGAGTTTGACATATTCACCAAGACTAGACAACCTGGAATTACACCATTAGCACCTCTGTCTAAATCATTATGGACATGTTCAGTTGAAGCAGCAATTGAATATTGTAGAATAGTATGGGACATCTTCCCGACTGATAAATTAGTAAGTTCATAAAAAAAAAAAAGCAATTTTGATTTTTTAATCATAATGAAAAATTTTTGAATGAAATTTTATTGATAATTGCATACATAATAAATGCAATGAATATTACAAAAAAAGTTGTTAATGTGTTTCTGTTTTATTATTAAATGTTCTTTTGAAATATTAAAATTCTTTACAGATACGTTTTGTTGTAAGTGATGGATCTTCTTTAACGCTTAATAGTTGGTCACAAAATCAGCAAAGTTTAACTCATGTAAGTATTATTAGTGTAATTTATTTTTGTAAAGTATTTTATTGTACAAATACTCTTAAGTTAGTGATGCACACCTTGCTGCCCGCAGGCTACATGCAGCCTGTAAGAGCTTCTGCATACAATAAAAAAAGTTTATTTTGAAAAGTTAAAAAAAAAAAATTCGAAAATTTTAAAGTTTGCATTTGAGTCATCAATTTCTGATGTGCTCAGATTCTGTAATAAATCTACATTATTTTTCAATTGATTTTTCAACAATTATTGCTATGAAATTCTACATGGTTTTAAAAAACTCACTATTATTAATACGATATTACGATGCTCAAATTTCAAATTTAAGTAATCTCTTTTTTACTTGCTTTTTTGTTGCCAATTTCATCACAAATTCAAGTGATGCTTCGATCGTTTTTTTTAGTTTATTGGTAAAAATTTCAATGAGGTTATTAAAATCTTACTACATCTATTACAGTATTACGACTCCACGTGGCAGAATCACCGCAACACAGCAAGATTGTCATAGAACATTACAGAGTTCTTGCAGAAAGAATTTTCCTCTAGGAAACAAAATGTTTGGTTTTCTTCTCTGCAGAAATTATTGAAATTTTTTTCTTCTCTAACATTATATTTCAAAGATACCTTTTTCGCGCATTGGGAGGAGAAAGAAATGTTCATAATTTTTCTATTCTTGTTTGAGAAGAATGAAAAATGAAGAATAATGAAGTAAAAAATTTCTTTTCTACAGAAATGTTCAAAGGATTTTTTTCTTCCCTATAATTATCTTCAAAAGATGTCTTTTTCGCGCATCAGAGGGAAAATAAATCTTTGATTTTCCTGTTTTTATTTGGGAAAAATGAAAAATAAAGAATAATGAAAAAATTTTGGTTTTCTTTTCTACCGAGATTTTCAAAAGATTTTTTTTTTTCTCCAGGGTTATTATATAACAAAGTATATTATAGGTTATTATATACAAAACTTTGACTTCGTTTTTAAGGATTCCTTGGTATGACTTGGTTTTTATTTCTTAAAAATTATGATTAACTATGGTTTCTAGCTTAATTAAAAATTTCTAAATTTTTTCAACAGAAATTGTTTTGGAGTTCTTATATTCCAGTTAGTGTTTTCTACTTTATACCTAGAATAAGGAAAGAAGTAAATATCAAGAAACTGAGCTTATATGCATTGCTACTGTGTTATTTCAATAAAACTTTCAAAATATGTTGTTTTTTTGTTTAGATTATTTGTGTTAATTTTGGTTTACTATTTTAAATATTTTTAATGGTTAATTAAATATTTTTAGTGGGTAGAATATTATGTTATTGTTTTTTATTATTCATGCTATAAGTGTGGGTTTGAAAGTGTGTCTCTTGTTAAAAAATGCTTTCATACTTGTGAACATCCTTATCCTAATCTTAAATTTTTAAAATTAACTTTGTTAAAAGTAATAAATTAGTTATATGGCTTTTCAATGCTTTAGTCAACACTTTAATTAGAAAAAATTTAATTAGTTGACAAGTTTTATTACAGATGTTAGTTATTTGTAAATTATTTCATAAATTAATTGAAGTTTTAAGAATTAAATTTTTTTTACTGGAATATATGCATAATTTTGTTATTTTAATCAACTTTTTCCTTTTATTATCTCTACCATATAATGTAATTGTCCAATTTATCTAAGGATTGCATTTTTACTAGCAATTCTCAGGAATCTGACTTATAACTGACCATTTTAAATTTTAACAGTATTAATTAGTTTAATAAATAATGTTATGGTATTCTCAAGAAATTTCTTTGTCATAAGATAATTTATATGTATACTAATTTTTTTTCCTTATTACCGTGCATAAATGTGAACTTATTCAGAACTCTTATTCTCTTAAATAAGTCTCTAAACATATCTCAATATACAAAGTGTATTTAATTTTTAAAGTATTATTATTTATTTTGCTATTGAATACCATATTTACAAAGTTTTCTCTTAAATTATTGTTAATTTTTTTTATTTATTTCTAAGATTTATGTCAAATTGTGTTGAATATGATTTTGAAATTTATGTTTTACTTAGTTAATGGCAGCACTTGCTCAAGTTGGACCTCCTCAGAGTATGGCAAGCAAAGATAGCAGTATAATGCATGGTTTGAATGCTGCTATTGAGGCTTTATGTGAATGTAGTGAAATTCAGCATGAGAAACGCACATCTCTAACAGAAAATGCTGCCAAAGTTCTTAATAAAGGCAGAGTTATTTGTTTCACTAATGTAAAAAGGTATTTTTATTTTGCAAGTTAATGTATATTTTGTTTCCTGGCTTATATCCTGGTTTGAAATATCTATCAGAACTACTAGATTCTTAGATCTGTTATTGATCAGTCACACCTCTGGCTTAGCCATGAATACAGTTTTCTATTAATCTGCTTAACCCACTGACGGTTCTGCACGTAAAAAGTCGCATTTTAACCTGCAGTCTTCTCTGCATAGCAAAACCGGTTTTCCCATGTTAACTGATAGGGGAACTGTGTGTAGGGGAGAAACATTCTCCCAATTTTGCCCATTTCCTTAACCGCCAGTGGGTTAAGGTCCCATATTGTACAAACTCTCAGAAACTTTTTAAGTTTTTTCTTTATATTAATTTTTGTTGAATGAAATTAGCCGTATTGGATGAAATAGCTGTTCAGAGTAATGTTTTAAAACTTTTTATAACTGTCTGCTCAAAATTTAAAGCCACACTAACTTCGTTTTTTCCTTTTATATTATTTGGGAAATTAATATTTTTTCTTCTGTAACCAACCAAATTTTCAAAATATTTAAATATTTTCCAATATTTACATGTAAAAAAAAAAAAAAAAACATTACTTACATTTTTAATAATTGTAATATAAGTAATCTGTTAAAAACTTTAAATGCACTGTAAACTTAATTTACTTGTAAGCTATAGAAAAAGATTGAAAAAGTACAACCTGTTTGTACAAACAGGCAAAAGAACAACCTGTTTACCTGTGTGTTTAACATTAAGTTTGATATTTAGGTAACATTGCAAAAAAAATTTGACTTATTAATTTTTTTTCCTTTTAGTAATAAATGATTAAAGAAATTTGAGTTCATCTCATATGAATTAAAGTTTAAAATTAAAAACATGAAAATGTTTTCAAGTCAATATTTAACATGGTTTATCCAAAAGTATGTATTGTGTCCTTTTCAGAAACAGGCTTATTAGTTCACAGTTTTAGTTCAAAACTACCAATGATTTCAAGTGCAATATGTGCCAACTTCCAATATTTTAATAAAGTATTTTTTCTTTTTCTTAAACAAATATGTTCTTACATTTTTGAAATTCACTTTTTCTATACTTAGAAGGAAAAAAAGTTTTAATATGTTAAATATAATTCTTTATATTATATTATGCCCCTTAAGGAACAACAAAAATTAGTCATAAAACTTAGGTTATTGTAATGCATTCTGATGCTGATTGCAAATTAGTAACATGAATTGAGCAATTATTTGTACATTATTGAGCAATTACTTTTAAATACTATGTCTCAATTCTTAGTCATTCGATTTTTAAAAAAAATACATATGCTTTTTGGTTTTTCATTGTGAATGAATGTTCATTTAATTTATGACTCGAATATTAGAAAAATATTTTTTTCTTCAAATATACTATGAGGAAACAAATGTGCATTGTTTATTGTATTATTAAACGAAAGCTATTAAGCACTGTATAACCACTTAATTTTTTATCATGCATTTGAATTACTATAATTTAATTACAATGCTAATTCCCATGATTATCAAAAAAAATTATTTATTTATATTTAATCTATAATATCTGTTTTTTTATTTTAAGATACTTAGTTTTAACTTTTAAAAATAATTGTATGCTGCATTGTATATTTCCTTTTTTTGATTGCCTTTTCAAATCATCTAAACTTGTATTTCAGTGATTTAGAAGTTAATTCCCTATTAGAGTGTTACCATGATGCTCTTGTGGAACATAACAAGTTGGCTGCTAGTTCTGATAGGTAAGATTTTTTGCAAATTATTAGATGCTATTATATAAGTTTTTTCTTAATATTGCTGTTATATATGTTTTCAATTTTTATCAAATGTATTAAGCAATTTCTTATTTTTTATTTGCTTGTCCTTTTTATTACTTACAATTATTTAATTAATGCTAAACACCCTCAATATTTAAAGTACTAACTTTTACTTACCCCCCCCCCATTATTCCCTTATTAATAATTTTTTATATTTTCTCTTATTAATAATTTTTAATAATTTTTCCCATTTTCCCTTATTAATAATTTTTTTCCTCTTTACTTATGCAGGGTTAAAGTTCCAAATTTTCAGATTATCTATGTTAAGATCATTTTTTGGTACTCTGAAAAATTTTTCATATTTTTTAAACATACAACTTTAATGTGTATAGACTGTTTTTTAATGTAGTTGTCCCACAATGGGCTGATCATATGACATGGTTCTCAGTAGATCACCAAAGTCAAGCATTACTTAGCGGATAGTGAGTGGGTGGGTGAACATAGTTTGAGAATGGACTAAGGGCCCATGCCCAATGGTATCAGTCCTTGTGAAACCATTCTACCATAAAATGTTCAACTTTACACACAGTTCATTAGGTTGTCAAAGGGTGCAAGTTCTAAGTGCAAGCCAAATGGATGCTGAGCTCCCAGTGTGAGCGTTTATCAATGTCACCAACACTTAAAACGACGTTGCACAGCCTTCATTTTGCTTGCTCTCTTAAATCATGTGAAATGAAAAAAATAAAACTTATTGATTAAAAACTATCGTTTTGTTAACATTTGACATTTTGTAGCTGTTAACATTTAAAGAAACTAATAAAAGAATAATAAATATTGTTTCTTGCTTACAATTTTCTTCCAGAGAGAAACAAAATTAAAAATATTCTTTATCTCTCCTTTGATTTAAAGGCATGTCAGCATAAAATGCGCCATTCTTAATGGTCCAATCAAATACAATGATCTTGCACTGTCAAATAGTTATGTCCCATTCGACAATAAATGTTCACCTTATTTATTGTCGCCAAGTCTTGGATTCCAGTAAGACCACAAAACTATAACCTTTTTTTAATAATTCTATGAGATATATCGTAAAAGTTAGCACAAATTAAATTTCTGTCCCACGAGTTTAACTTTTTATAGCTTTTATAGTGTTTTGAAAACATATTTATATAATTTGATAACTAAATAAAACAGAACTAAATGCTTTTGCAAATGATTACTTAAATCCTGGATGAAGTATAATTATCATTGCAATGGAGTATAATTATCCATTGTGCAGCTCTTGTGCGATTTATATAAAGTATTACTACTACTCTTATTTTTGCAAAGGAAATAAAAGAATAAACAACTAAATACCAATAAAAGAATAAACAACTAAATGCCATTAAAAGAATAACAAAATACTTTTCTAATTTTTTTTTTCAAGCTATTATTACTACTGTTCTTTGAATAACTTATACTTTTTTTAATAACAAATTCATAATTATAATTCCCCTCTTGTATCTTTAGCTTGATGACTATTCAACATTGTGAATTGGTTATGGTTCATGTTTATCCTGTTAACAAGGAAAGTTGTATAACACATCTGACAAAAAAGATGGTAAGTGGTATTAAAAAAAATTGCCCGGAGCTTCACTCTAATGAATTCATATCTATTTTAACAAATCAAAAAATTAAAGCTGGATTAAAATAATAACTTCATTAAAACTGTTATCTCTTTTAATTTTGTAACTTAGCATTTGAACTCTCTTATTTCAGGCACTTGCTTTATTATAATGGCCATTTATATTGTTTTAGTGGTTTTTGTTACAGATAGGCATTTAAATTGAATAAGATTTTATTGAAATTTTATATTTTTTAATAAGTTTTTAAGGATTAGACTTTTAATCATTTATATTTGATGCTAGATGTGTATTTTTACAGGTTTCACCTTTACTCAGCACAGAACTTCACTGTGTAAAATCAGGTCGTCACTTAGCAGCTAAACTTGGCCTATTAGTTCAGCAGCATTACAATTTGGCTTCAACAACTGTTACAGGAATACCCATGAAGGTAATTTCTTAGTAATAAATTGTTGTAGCTCTATTTTGAAGTTGGTTATTTTTTAAATAGTAATTATAAGATACAAAGGTAGTTCTTTCTAACAAAATTAATTTGTTGAAAAATTTACTTTATATTGTCATTTTTGTTAGGAGGTTTGATTGATAAGGTCCCTTAATGCAGGATTTAAGTTAAAAAAGAAAAAAATTAGTTACTGCAGAACATGATACATGGATTCAAAGATCTATTAATTAGCAGTATGTAAAGAATGTACAATAAATGAGATAAGGAGAACAATTTAAAAATAAAATAAAACTAAAAATTAAAGCTTTGCATGGTTGAAGGAAAATTTGTTTTGCCAGCTTTAATAATTATTTTATAATTAATGAATTTCCAGGTTTTTAAATTGTATTCTGTTACTTGAGTCTTATCTGTTTTCAAAAATGTTTAAGTTTTTTTTTTTAATTTTGAAAATATCAAATAAAAAATTTTATAATAAGATTCAATATTTTTAAAATTTTTTTTGTAAATTGTTTGAAGTTAGACTGTTATTTATCTAGTGGTTTAATAACTGGATGATGGAGAATAAGTTTAAGAATCAGTTAAGAACTGATTTTTTGGCTTCTATAATAGTTTATTTTCAATATAATATTCATGTTTAAAATTAAAAACTTTATACAATTCGAAAAATATCATAAAAATGTAATATTTGCTTACCTATGCAAACTTCAATATATTAATGTTACTTTAAAATTATTTATTTTTTATATTTTACTCTGGTATTGTTTACTTGTTATTTGAAATTCAATAAATATGTTTCCAATTTTGTGTGTAATATTTTTTTTTTATCTTTTGTATCCTGACAGGTATGCTTGTCTATTTTTCACTATTACATTTAGGACTGAACACAACTTTTCATGCTTTGACAATGATTTTTTCATGCTTAATTCATATTAATTAATAAATAAAAAAAATAGTGAAATATTTCTTAAATCTGCTATCGTGAAATTTTATTGGATTAAAAAGAAAAAAATAAGTTTTAAATGAATAATGAAATTATTTATATGAACTTTTCTTTCTTTCTTATTTTTATAATTTGCGATAAATATTTTTTGTTGTCTCTGCATTACAATTTTATTTTTATGAGGCCATTATATTTACATCAGCTGTTGCCATCATATGTCCAGCATATATATCAATGACTCTTTGTGTGCAATTATATGCAAATGTGCTAGTGTAATGTACTTTACTTTGTATGCAAGTGAATAAATCTGTTATGATACATATTTTTTTATATGATACATATTGCTTTTTGTTTGTAGGAAGAACAAAATGCAAGTTCCTCTGCAAATTATGATGTAGAATTACTCCATCCAGCATCTGCTCATAATGAAGTTTTTAAAACAGGTCATAAAATACTTTTTGATTCATTAGCTACCTAATTTTGTTAATATTTAATATTTCAAGAATAAATTACAGATCAGAAGTGACAGTTTTTGACAAGAAACAATTTCCTATTTTCACCATTTTATGAGAAAACTTTTTAAAAACCTTATTTATTTTGTTACTTACTAATTTTTGAATTACAGTAGAGTCTTGATAATTCGAGTCTCGGTTGTTTCAGTTTTCCATAAATCCGAGCTAGTGAAAAAAAGTCAGTTTTGCTCCCAAATAATGCCTAACCCACACACAACCTGTGGAATGATTACTAAGATTGATTTTATGACGATTACTATGACTGAATGTTGAAAAACCTTATTAAAAAATATTATGTGATAAACACTGAAACTTGTGAATAGTGTGTTTAAACAAGAAACATTAGACAATTATTTTAAAGTATAATTTATCTGCTACAGTATTATAAGAAATATTAAATTTGTAGCTTGATTTAATGTAGTATATGTACTCTGATCCCATAATGAAAGGAATTTTTTTAAATATAATATGCTTTTCAATTAAATACTAAAATTTTAAAAATTGCTTTGTTCCCATTTATTTCAATATTTATTAATTTAAAATTTTTTGATAACTCGATTTTTTGAAAGTTCAAGGTAGGCTCGGTCCTGTTCACCTTGAATTATCGAGACTACCGTGTATGTAAAAAAATTTCTGTCAATATTGTTGCTCTGGCTAAAATTTGTATGCCTGTTTGCATTTTGAAAATTTTTTTTGCTCACTTTTTTTTCCAACTTCTTTTAAAGTTAATGACATCTTTTATCTACATAGGTGTTGGTAACACAGAAGGTATACAAACTGCTGTTAAAGAAGGACAATTATATGAAACAGTGACTTTAAAATGGTGTACTCCGAGATCTAGTTCTGTTGGTGAGTAAACTTTTATTAATTCAGTCTGTTTTTTTTTTTGTTAAATATCCAATAAAATACTCTGCCTGTCTTAGAATTTTTTTTATTGCCTGATAGTATGGAATGAACGATAAATTATGAGTATTCTAATTTTTTTATTTTGCTTTTAAGTTTGTTAAAATGCCACATTTATTCCAAGATCTATGAAAATGTTAAAACATGAATATAAAATAACACACCATTTAAAAAAAAGTTTTTTCAATTCTCTTGTTGAAATTGCTTTTGAAGAGTAGAAAGTTGTGTTCCATTGTATTATGAACAAATCACATGAGATTTCCTTTTTATGAGAAACAATTTTTGTTACTATGTTGCTATTAAATAAGTAGCATTCACTTTGATGATAAATTTTCTGTAAAATTTTGTTTAGTCAATAGGTGCAATTAACATAAATAAGTATTTATTTAATTAATTTTTTAAATATGCTGTATTTTATTTTATTAGAGACATATTTGTTTCCTTAATTTTCTATGTTACAGTTTTGTTTTAAGTCTAAATCTGCAAAAGTTATTGTTTTAGCTAGTAAAGAGACATGATTTCTATGGTTAAATTTTGTTGAAATGTGTATTTACAACTTTATTTTATTGTAAAGCTTTTGCAATCTATTCTTATTTTCAGCTTTTTGTAAAATTTTTACTATTTTTATTTTTGACTTTACCTGAAAGTTTTATTAAAAATTTTAATTTTGCTTTTAACTTGATTTATACACTAGAAGGAGCATGCATACAGTTTTTAGTGAGCAATTAAAAGTATTTAGTGTGCAATTTAAGTAATAATATTGTATAAATAACGTTTTATTGATTCTTAATTTCCTGTTACATAAGATTTGTAAACTGTCTTAAATAGATCTTTTGGATAATAGGAATTTATACAAAAGAGATAAGTAATTATGCTAAAGTATTTTTTTTTTTAATGAAATAAGCTTTTATTACATTTCCTCTTCTTCAATTTAGTTTGAATAATTGTTTAGAAATGCATCTTTTTCTAATGTAAATTATATTTTACGTTTAATATTTTCTTTTAGAATGAAATGAGCCTTTATCACATTTCCTCTTGTTTACTTTAGTCTTGAATAATTATCTGGAACAGGATCTTTCTGCAAAGTAAATAATGTTCGTAAGAATAAAATAAATACTACGTGTTAGACCTGAAAGCAAATTAAATGCAGTTGAATATTCTTAACTCAACTGTATTTTTATTACTTTGGATTGCACAAGTTCATTTATTTGATCAAAAATTAAGGGTTTTTATTCGTGTTTTTTTATTCATATTTTTTGCTGTTCTTATATGTTATACACTTTTTGCTAATGCTTTATTACTTTCGTTTATTTTAACAGAATTGCATTACTGTACGTCTTCTTTTCGAATCACACCAGTTGATGTGAATAACAGACCATCATCTTGCTTAACCAATTTTCTTTTAAATGGTAATGTTTTTATTAAGTGTTACTATTTTACATTTAAAAAAATTTTCTTTCAAATATTCAGCTTAAAACATCTTAATTCTGAATACTTCTTCTATTAAATAGTTAGAAAATTTAGTAACATAATGTAATCAATATTATTTTTAAAAAACTTACTAGTAGTAATGAAAAAAAAAGTACTTCGTCAAGCCAAGATGATCATTAAGGTTAAGGTTTCACAATTTCGAAACGAACAGCACAATAGCAATGTGGACAGAATTGCAGACTGGCTGCCTTTATTTCCTAGTTAGGCTAATAATCATTGATTCAATGCTGGCTGGATTTTAGGGGGCCACGTGAGATAGAATTTTAGTCTTTCCCAATGGCAGCTCAATGTCTTTATCACTGTGCTGTTGTTAGTTATTACTGTTGATAACTTAATTTTACTTGTCGGTAGTGAACTGAACATTTATAAGGAAAAACGACTTTTAAAGTAAAGAAAAGTATCACCACATGTTTGATTTCTTAAGAGAGAACAACACAGCAAAATTTTCAACAAAAAAAAATGAGAAAAAAATTTATAGAATCTTTTGATAGTTTATCCTTTTAAGATTATTGCACCAAAATATTGAATTGATTTTCATAAAAATGTAAAAGTTTAAAACACCTCACAAGCAAAAAAGTTTTTCAAAATTCAACCATTTTGTGAAAGGAATTATTTATTAGAAATTCTATGTGCTGCAAAAACTACATTCATGTAGTTTTAAAAAAATCAATTTGAATGATTTTTTTAATTTGTGATTACAGCAAGTTATGGATAATTTAAATATTACATTATAAATATTGTATTATATAAGAATGAATGTTTAAAATTTTTGTATTTGTAACATGATTAAATGAAGATTAACAATGAGTACAATAGGATAAAAAAATGTATTGAGTTAAGATTATCACAATCATTGCAAAATTCCTTAAAGAAACTTGTTTTTTAACGACTTCCATCTTAAACTGTCCAAATTGTTAGAAGTAAAACTACATTTTTCTGATCATTTAATCTTAGCATTTTTATAGTATATAGAAAAAAGAAGCAATAACAATTTGCTTATAAGCAGAATGGTTAACTTATGGACAATCAATTTAATGATAAAAAAATTTGTTGTAATTTATCTTTTAGCTTTGTTATTTCCCTAATAAATTATTACTTTTAATTATTTCCTTGTAATGTAATTTATATTAATACCTTATAATAAAACTTACTTTTATAAGTCAATACTGTTTAGTTATTTTAGTATTATTGAGTGCTTTAAAACTGTACTTTAGGACGAGCAGTAATGCTGGAAATGCCTCGAAAATCTGGCTCCAAGGTATTGTCACATATGCTTGCCAGTCATGGAGGAGAAATATTCATTCATACTCTTGGTACAGGACGATCAATATTGGAGGACCCTCCATCAATAAGTGAAGGATGTGGTGGTAGAGTGACTGATTACAGAATAAATGTATGTTTGACAAAGATTTTATGAATTTTAATCATATACAATAAAATCATATATATATGATTTTGTATTGTTTTCTCTTTCAAATTCTATAATTTTTATATTTTGAATTAGGATTTTGGAGATTTCATGAAACAAAATAGACTTGTACCATTTGAACCTCAGCCAGATAGAATTGAAAATCCTTTAGACAAAGGTAAATTAATATTATTTTTTTTAAATTGTTTACTACTTTAATTGTTTAAGTGAGTTTTTAGCGATAATATTGAATAAATAATATTTTATTGATTTTTAATTTCCTGTTACTTAATTATGAAATACCTCATATCAGCTAGTTTTTGATGAATTAGATTTTAAATTTAGTATGAAAAATAGACCTTTTAGATTATATAAATTTAAATATAAGAGAGTAATAGTATTCAACTAAAGTATTTTAGTTAATATATTTGTACTGTTAAGAGATGTACTTTTTTGTTTAAAAATTAGCAAGATGTCTCATTTTTTAAAAATTACATATTAGTTTTCGAGTAATTAAATTGTATGGTATTTGTATTTAAAGCTGTTTCTGCATTTTAATAGTTTTCTCTTTAAAATTTTTCTTATCTATAAACTATTTTGTTTGTTGATATCATTGTTTTTTTTAAATACTTAAAATATTTATTAATTGTATTTTGCACTTAATTTTGCATATATTATTATATATCTTAATTTCTAAATATTTCAAATTGTCTAAAATTTGTGATATTTAGAAGAAAATGATGTGAAGTTAAAAAAATTAATTTTTTATGGACATTTATTAGAAATCTGCTTCACAAATGTTTCTCTTTAAATACAAATATACACAAATAAAATAATTACTTTCTTTTGCTATTGGTCTTCTGCTGTTATTCTTATTCTATTGTCCCTCATTGTAAAAGTATTATAACTCTATATTTTTAAAATATGCATTATTTTGCTTAATTGCATATACATTTTATGATTTCTTTCTTTTTAAAAGTAAAGTAACCCCAATAATTGTATGAAATTTACACAAATGGATCGCACTAAATAATCATTATTAGTACTGCAAAAAATTTCAAACTTAAATAGATAGCTTTTTTTATTGAAATTCATTTACAAAGAAATGATCTACTATTAATAAATGACTCATGTCTTTCTTTTATTATTTTTTAATGGTTTGCCTCTTTACTATAAAATTTTCGTTTTTCTTTATTTAAAAATTGTTATTACCAAACTTGTTCAGATAAAAATAATTGATTTGGTTGTACCCTTTGTAAATTTTTTGTTAATTAGTTTATCTTTTCAAGTTTTATTGCCATAATTGGCTATTTCAGCTGATAATAGTTAATATTATTAAAATGATAATAGCTTCTGTTTTGGTCTTAAATTTTGATGAGAGGCAACTGATGAGTATTTACTTAAATTAATTACAGTGTATTTGTATATTGTGGTATATTTAATTATTTATGTGTACATAACATAAATGTAATGTCATTCCAATTGTCTAGTGAGCAGAAATAGAACTTTTATCTTAATATATTAAATAGCACAATTGGATTATTTGTTATTTTATTAATTGGACTTCCCCGTTCTTATCTCTTTATCTACATATTCATAATCTATATTCCTTAATCTGAAATGATTTTTAAACTTATTTAAGCCTCATTATACATTTTTACCTACTTTGAAATGATTTTTTTCTATTACTAATGTATTTATTTATTTATTTATTTTATAGCAAAAAAGAAATTAGCAAGACTCACACAATATTGGCCTATTGTCATTGGCCATACTACCATATTCAATATGGCTAACACAGTGCCAGTATGTAAAAAAATATTTAATTATTTTTTTAAATAAATATTTAAGTTTTTTATTCATGATTACTCTTTAAACTTTATCAAAACCTGCAAGCTCTGTAAAGTTTAAAATGTTACTATTCAGGAAAATGTATTCCATAAAATATTGCATGCATTTGTTATATATATGTATGTATCAAATTACCTTTGTTTCTTTTCATTCTCACATGGCAAGTCTTGAAAATGAGCACCTATTTTTGAGTGCTTTAAACATGTCCTACCGTTATTTCTTATTTGTATATTTTTGAAGTGAATGAAGCTTTTAATCTAGTAATATCTTACTGCTTTAATTTCTTGAGATTATTTAATGGGTATGATTTATAAAGGTGTTATAAAATAAACCGTTTTGAGTTTATAAAAAAAATCTAGATTTTTTTTTCTCACGAAATTAAGATTCAGATAAATTGCTGTTTGACACTTTATTGCATCACAGTAATAAATTAAAATATGATTTATATTAGTTAAATTTTAAAATCCAACTTAATTTGTGTTGTGAAAAGATTATTACCCATATTGTGAAAAGATCATTACCATTATCAATATTATAAAAGAAGCAAAAATTAAGAAACATACTTCAAAATTCTTAGCATTTAATTATAAAGCATGATTAACACACATCAATTGAAATGTAAGATTGTGTATACATTAAGACTAGTACAAGGATGAAAAAGTACAGTGCAATATATTAGCTTGATTGGATTAAAAATGTGAATTGATATGTGTAAGTGTAAAGTATGTAAGAATGTTATTGAAATGTTTTTTCATTATTACAGTTATTAATTGAAGTGGTCAATGTTATATGTATGTAAAATTTTTACAAGTTTCTTTTTTTGTCGTTGGTTTTGGAATATCAATCACAGATTGTCAAATACCAAGTAGTTTTCTAGACTACCTAAAGAGAATCCTACAATTTGGAGGCAATTAAAACAATCTAAGATCACACATTTTACATTTAAAGTTAAAAATTGCAATTCCAGGATACAATTATATAATATGATCTGAGATAAAGCAAGTCTGTTCTTTTTGTGTTAAAGTAAAATAAATAAATAAATTTTTAAAAAAAACTAACTACTCTTGTCTTCTAAAAATACCTTAGTGTGAATTAAATTGTTTTCCATACCCAATAGAGTATTTCGTTATCTTTATTATAAAAAACTCCTTCAAATTATGGTTTATAATGTTCCTTTATTTCCAGCAAATATCACCTTTACTGGAATTAATAACCAAAGAAACTCTTGATCAAAATGAGGTCACAAACTGTAAAAAAGTAATTTATTATCTTGTGGACTATGAAAATAGGGGACTTCCACTGCCTGTACCAACTGTTGGAACAAGGGGAAAAGGGCCTAAAAAGTATGCCTTAAGCTTTTTTTCTGATGTTTCTTAAATATTTTAAAAATAATATGACACAACATTGGTAAAGACATAATTTTTATTGTTAACTGTGATTAAAAAAACTCTTCTTGAATGATTTTAGCCCTGGAAAATCTCTTAGGACAATGCATTTCTTTTGTATTCTACATGATACTTGTGTCAATATAAAAAAAATAATGCTTAATTTATTTATAAAATAAATTGCCAACTATTATTGATGAAAGTTCATAAGAATCTCAATCAAAATCATGTGCTGGTAGTTAAACTTACGAATTTTCAGCACAGAAGGATTTATGGGAACCTTTTTTTTTATTCACATTTTCCTATTATATATTTATATATTGCACAAAAATGGAAACTTAGCGTATACTCTCGATTATTCGTGTGCAGGTTATCCGGTTTATGGTTTATCCGGGCTATCCGAGCCCGGATAAACCACAAACCGGATAATCCGCGCTCCTTTCGAAGTCACAAAAAATGTTTTTAAAGAGAAACATTTTCAAGATTATCATGCATGTAAAATATATGTTGATATGAATAGAAATCTTGTCAAATCAGTCTCGCCATTTATTAACAGAATATGAATCTAATATTTTTTATTGATAATAATCGCTGCAATAGTAGGTTATGAAGTTATAACACTTTTTGAAAGCAATATTCATTATTGGATGCAGTATATTAGCAGCATGGTCAAAGGTAAAATCGTCTACGTCATCACGATCATAGAGAAAGATCATACCCCTTGATCTTCTTATATTGAACAATATGATAACAGTATTTTTGAACAAAGAAAAGAAATTGTAGTTTAGAAATTCTTGAGGAAAATTTAGATGATTCGTTCCAAAGTGATGTATGTGAGCTTGACTTCCAGTATTTAACAGATGAGGAAATTGTTACTAACTGTGTTGTTAAATCAAATAGTGATGATAGTACTGATGCAGAAGATGTAATAAATGATGGAAATACAATTCCTGATTCTACTGCTCTACAATCTGTGGAAACTTTATTAGATTGATTATGTGGGAGAACGAGGATTTGATTACGGTGACGTTACTACGGTATGTAAAATCTGTGTCAATATACGGCAAGAGATGAACAAGCAGCAGAAGCAAAGACGCATTACACATTTTTTTAAGCAGTAAATGTTAAATTCCTAATTTGATGTTATACAGCATGCAAATGTAAGTAATTTTTATATTTTTTGTACTAATGTTAATTTTTTCTTTAATAAAAAGGAGTTTTCAGATTATCCGTGTTTTTCAATTGTCTGTGCGACCTGTCCCGGTGATTAACCCGGATAATTGGGAGTGCACTATATATATATATATATATATATATAACGTCGTTACTGAGTGGAGGGATTAAAACAGTCTTAGGCAGGGAAGGAGGGTACAAAATTTATTTATTAATTATTAGACAGAGAGCAGTCATAAAAGTGGCCACAAAAAGTTGTGCTTCTTATTTTAAGTTAGGGAAAATCTTGAAAAATAAATCCGTAAAATGTTTCATTTTAGGGCATAGGAGAAATCTTAGTAATTGTAATTGGTTTATTAAATAGGTCGCGCGAATCCCACAAAAAGCAAATGGGAAAATATCTTGCTTTTAATTAATGCATACTTGAGCCAAAAAAGATTTAAAAGACAGGATGTGATTTAAAAGTGTGAGAAAGTGTTCCGATTAGCATAATAAAATAAAATAAAAGGATTTTATATATATATGGTCTTTATTTTGTAAGTAGACATTTTTATGATTTTACAATTTCAGCAGTTTTTACAAATTCATTATTTTTATTTATAGGGAAGAATTGTATCGACTTATGTGGAATGAATTAGAAGCATATGTCAGGTGTCATTGTTTGACAGCTGAGCACCAAAGTGTACTGGAATGCTTATTGGAATGCCGAAAGCCTAACATAGAAGGTGAAGGCTCAGCTTCAATAGCGAGTGTAAAAGCGCAACTTGGAGCTCAGAGTCCTTCTCACTCTCCAATTAAAAAATTGGACAAAATTAAAGAGGAAAAGGATATGGATATTGACGAACATAAAGATACTGATAGGTATAATTAAAGATAACTAATAGTTGATTAAAAAATTGTTTTTATGTTTTTAAGATTGGAATAACTTTAAAATGTGTGTGACATTTAAGTGGTAACTAAAAATTTTGAGTCTAATTTACAGAAATTATTAGTGTTATATAATCATATAAAATTTAGATATAATTTCACTAAAATATGTAATGTTTTGTCGATCGATGATCTCAAATGTGTCAATCTACACATTAGAATTAGTTACACCCTACTTGAGAGATTTAAGGTGGTTCATCTTGATTGTCAGATAGAGTTCTGACTAAGAATCGATATATGATCTGGCTAGGAATAATCTAGATGGCCAGATAGATTTGTGACTCTATCCAATGCTTAACTCTCTTTTGATAAAACAATTATATTAAGTAAAAAGAATTTAGTCATGTATTTAAAAAAATTTTATCTCAATTACAAATACTCTCATACTCTTGTTTGCTACTCATAATTTATGCATATTAGGTTACAAGAATTAAAAAGTAGCACAATAGGCTAAGCAAATACCATTGTGTATGAAAAAAATGTTAACTAGTTAAAACTTAATGTTTGCACTCGTTTTTTATGCTCACACAACTTTTGTTCTTTTTTCGTGAAAGTAAATTTAAAAAAAATTGTTACTTATGCTTCTGCAACTTTGTTTTTTTTTTTTCTTTTTTATGAACCTTGCACTTTGAATTAGCAGATAATTTCACAATTCAAGTTGGTAAAGGCAATAATTTTTATTTGTGTCTTATTTTATTTTTGTTGAACTAAAAAATCAATTATAAAAATTTCAAAATGAATATTAGTACCATCACACTTGCATCTTTTCTTAATTACACATACTTTGGTCTTATGTATTTGATTGGTTGTAGCTTGAAGTAGTGGATTACAATTCTTACCAAATATTTTGTCATTTTTTTCCATTACCAACTGGACCTAAAGGCAACAGAAACTGACTTTTAGGCTTATCTTCATCACCTGATCTTTGAACTTCATTTGTTGGATCATTGCGATATGACATTTTATTTTCATTTTATGGGTTATTTAACTTTTTTAATGTAATTATATTATTACCATTGCTATCAGCAGAAAAAAAAATTCAGCTTTTTTCTCCAAGATTAAATTGGAGATTTATAGGTTTAAATAATGTTAATATGAAGTGTTCAATTAGTAATCAAATATTACACTTAATTTTTTTATGTAACACTCATAAAATTTTTAAACTGTTATAAAATAAATTTTCACTTCTATTTCAGGTCTAGGGCTTATGAAAATTTAAGTGATTCTTTTAATAAAGTGCCACCTATAAAAAAGATTAAACTTAATCTTGAGGCTATGAAAACACCCGCTACAAAATCTTTATTATCGCTCTGGACTGAAAGACTGACTGTTGAACATGAAAAACGTTTTGTTGAATTTGTTGGTCGGGTTAATGGTAATGGACCTGCTAAATTGTACCCCAATATGAAATCTGATGGGTAAGTATATAAAGTGGAAGTTAAAGAATTTTTTGACTTACTTACAAAAGATTTTCATTATTATGGGCAGTCTTTAAAAAATTATTTTGTCAAAATATTTAGTGTTCTTTCTTCTTTATGTTGCTAGAAAATTTTGAATATTCCCTGTATGAATTCTCAAATTCTGTTTTGTTCAAGTGGCTGGATACTGTTTATTATGTATAAAGATATTTAATGATAAATTTGAAAAGAAACTTAAATTACAGGGAAGAAATTGTTTTTCTAAAAAAAGAAACATTTATTGAATGTTTTGTTATAACAAAGATTTCTGTTTTGACATAAAAGATGCCAAAGTTGAATTGATGAAAAAAAACCATTTTGTAAGTGAAAGGTTTTTTTTTAACTTTTGTGTTAACACAGTATTTTGTATGTCCTTGTCATGAAATTTAATTCGGAATATCTTATAACTCCAGAACCATTAGTGCTAGGGTTCTGAAATTTAGACATCAAGTACAAGGAGTCATTTTAGCCTGATCCTGAGAGTCGTTTAAAAATTATTAATTCGTTTGAAAAATATGTTCGGAAAAAGATTTTTTTCAAATTAGTTGTTGCTAGGGTATCTAAAACTGTAATTCCTTTACGTTTAAGATTCTGCATATTCTTTATGTTTAATACTTTTTAGATGCTGAATAATCAACTTGGATAGCATCACTTTGTCACTGAATTAGTATTTGTAAAGTTATCTGAAACTCAAGTGTTTATTTTGCTTATAGATGTGACTTTCAGACATGTTCTTATAAAATTAATTTGCAATTGCAATTGAAATAACAAAAAAAGTTATGTACTAAAAAGCGCAGTTAATATTAAAAAAGTTAGTGATTGGTTCAAAGGAAGTGTAAAAAATCATCATACTATTATTGATGCTTAGTTAATTTTGATAATTAGTTCTGCTAGTATTAGGATAATAGAGGTTGTTTTTGATAGATAAAAAATATTCTATTATAAGTACTGCTACAAACACTGTGATAATAGTTTTTTTTAAATTTATTTTACTCTACACTGAAATTAGACTGACTAGCATAAGTTATTCTCAAGCAACAGCGTTATGCTAATAGATTCTGATTAAACTTAACCTTTACTTGGATGGGAGGAAATTCTTAAAAAGTGTTTTGTTTAATCTAATAACGTTAGGTAAATAAATTATAAATAAAAAAATTCATTTTAGCTTCATTAATTTTGCCAGTATATGTCTCAAATCTTTGTGACTTGAATATCAGAATATCATGTTCTGAGCTGTGAAAATAGTTATTGATATATTGGAATCTAATTCCAATTCCGAATTCTCCTAAGAGCTTGATTCTGACTTACATTCAATTAGAATTTCCATTGAATCCCTGGAAAGTATTATTAATTGCTATGTTATCATTCTTAATCAACTTTCTTGTAGCATTCCTTATTTAGTCTTTTAATTTAATATATAATTTCATTTTTAGTCTAATACTAAAAAACTATCTTCAGTTTTTTGCTCTATCTGCCAACAGTAATTGCAAAATGGTTCTCACTAGTTATACACAATACAAATACATCTGACCATAAATCAAGGTTTACTATCAGTTTCAAATTTGCAAACATGGGAAAATATCAACAACAAAAAAGGAGCAAATCACAGTTTATTTAAAGACTTTACAAATCGTTACACACAGCATGAAATAAAATGATTTTGTGTGTAACTAATGAGAATCAAGTTGATATAGTTTCAGTTAATTTTTCAGATGTTATGTTCATTTTATATCAAGTTTGTCTTAAAATGTGTTTCAAGACTATCTTATAAAATTTTTAATGAGAGCAGAGAAAAAGTCAGTATTTCTTAAATAACAATAAAAACATAAGTAAACTGCTGAAACTAATCCTGAGAAACTAAATAAAACATTACAGAGAAAGACAAATTCATAAATTCATAAGGCGTTTGTAGCCACCACCACAAGCTACAATGCACTTTTGAAATCAGTCAGTGGCTCTTTATCAGTTGCAATTGGCACCAATTATTAATTGGTAATATGAAATATTTCCATTGTTATGTGAAGCAAATTCATGTATAATTTTCTAAATGACAGTAAAGAGTAACTTGTTTTTTTATTATGTTTATTAAAGAAAAAGCTGATAATCCTTTTAGTCAGTCATCCAAGTACAATTCTTCATTGGTGTTACATTCAGAAGGAAATGCACAAAATTCTCAGACAAAATAACAAAACTCTACAGTGTAAATTTTTATTTATTTATTTATTTTTGCATTTTGATTAATATACCACAGGAATAAGAACTAGCATTTATCAACTATAATTTTTTATGCATGTAATATTTGTCTTTGTAAGGATAATCAAGAGTTTAATGTAATGGGTTTTTGAAAATTATTTGCACTACATATATATAAGTCTTTTTCAACTGATAAATGGCGTAACATGAATAAAATCTGTTGTTAGATTTACTATTTTTAAATTTGTAATAAATTAAATAACTTTTTCTAAAGTAAGAAATATTTCTTAGGAAGATTAAAGAAAAAAAATCTCGCACTCAATGTTTGCAACTCAAAGATGTTCTCCTCACCATGTCTATGTTTGAAAGGGCCTTGTTAAAATTAATTGTTTTAAGCTTGGCAAAAAATAAAAATTGTGAAATATCTTATTTTCTTAGTATGGATGTCTACATAATTTACTTTATTTCTTTTTTCATTCTTATGTATTTTAACATCTCTTTCCTTACATTCATCTTTCTTTTGTACCTTAGGAATGGTGATGGGTCTTAACATCTAGAAATAAAGTCTATATTTGTCAGGTAACTTAGTTCTGACATTAAATGTGTGCATGACTCTATTAACATGGATAAAAGTTATTCAGTTTTTAAAATAAAATTCATGAGGGCGTAATTGATTTTTGTAATTTTTTATAAAATTATTAGAAACTCTCAATGTGAAATATTTTAAGAATTTATTAGAAATTATTAAATTTTTCAAAATAGTTATCTTCCAAAAAGAAAGAAAATAACTGTTTGAAAATTGAATTGTATTGGGAAAAGATTCCTAGCAGCCCTCCCACAACTTTCTAACTTCTTCTGTTATCTTCTTTTGCTTCATTTTCTAGTTGTTTGGTATTTCAAACAATTTTCTATAAAATCTGCAAACTGTTAAAATTTTCTAATGGTAATTAAAACATTTGTGTGCAAATACATTACCATATTTATGTAAACTTAATAGTTAATGTATTTTATGTTAACTACAATTATTTTCGTAAAAAATGTAAAAAGAATTTTTTTCTCTCGCATTTTTGTAAAATAGGCATAACAAAAAATATCGTTATTAAGTAAATGCTAGAGCAAATTAATTGCATTGCGACTTTTTTATTTTTATGAAAACATATCAACTTCTCATAGTAACTTAAATGTTTTTGAATTTTTTTAAATTGTTATTTGTTGTTGTTAATTGTTGTTTGAAATTTTATTAACAGTAAAATAATTTTGTAAAAGCTATTTTATTTGACCCAGTTATGAAGAAAACCTGAAAAATATAACGCTGTTTCTCAATATTATTAAAAAGTTTTTGCTAATAAACAAAGTCCTTTAAATAATTTTAATAACAATAAATGTCTTTGGTGTTCTTCCACCTTTAAAATTATGAACTAGAAGCACCATTATTTAGAATGAAGCAAACTAAACGATGTAATAGTTTAATGTAAGCCAATAATTTTAACAATGAAGATATATTTATTTGACACCCACTTTATGTCTTTATACAACTAACTTTTTTTTTACAGGGGTAAATAGTATCACAGATTGTAGAGCATGAATTATACCATAAAAGTACTCTGCTTTTCAGCTGCCACGAGCTTCATCTGTCATTATGTTCATTATTTTATTTGTACAGTTTAAATTTGTAAAAAAATGTTTTGAATAAAATTTATCATTGTTTTAGCTTCATAGTTTTATTTTTTTACAATTTTTTTTTTAAAAAACTGTTACATATTACATGTTACATATTTCAAAATTATGTTGTTTTAATATCAGGTAAAACATAAACTATCAGTTTACTAAAGAATTTTTCTGGGTTGAAATGTGACATATATTTCGAGATTCTGAATCTAAAGTATGGTTTTAAGTTTATTTCTGAAATGTAATAGTGTTAATCTATTTATTTGGTTTACTTACTTTATTTTAGACAGTTTCACTTTTATTATGGTAAATCCTATTTCTTCAATTTTTTATTGCATTAATTTCTGTTCTTGAAAATGCCTTGGCACTTATGTAAAGGACTATGTGAATAACTTCCAACATTATTTGTTGAGATTGACCTTAAAGAAGAAAATATGAATCCAATATTTTGATGTCTAGCAAATAATGATAGATTTTTTTAGAATTATTGCTTTTTATTTTAATTTATTTGAGTTTGAAATAAATATTAACTTTTCTACACTTATCTTTAATCAATTATTGACTTTATTACACTTAACTTTATCTTGATCTTGGCTAGGACTGGGCGATATAAGAAATTTTATATCATGATGCATCGTCAGTTTTCCATCGCGATATAGCGATGTATCGCGATATAGTATTTTTGAAATTCATTTACTTGTATGGCGCAGAAAGTCAGATTTCTATCAAAACTTCATACTCACATTGATTTAAATCAATTTATGAATTTGATGTACATGTTTTGCTTAAGAAAGATATTAATGTTATATTTTCTAAAAATGATCGCGCAAATAACGAAAGATTTCTTAGTTTAAAGATAAATAATAAAAAAATAAACAAAATTGAAATTTATCAATATATTTACCTAACAATATAGAAAGAAAATTTAAAAAATAAGTTCGTTAAAAATTATTCCTATGCTTAAAACAAAGTGCTAAATAAATTAAACAAAAAAAACCACTTTTAAAGCACTATTTTTTATCATTATTATTTAACATAAGTAATAAAGTTAAATTGAATAATTACCGAATCATGAACGAAAAAACAAAGTAAGGTTTAATTTCTTAAATTATGATATTCGATAATATGTTCAACAGACAATATTGAAAGAAAATTAAAAAAACATGATTATACTCTTTAATAAAACGAAGTGCTAAATGATTTTTTAAAAAAAAATTCGCAATCGCAAACATAACTAATTTTTTTGAATAAACAAAGTTGATTGACTTATGTCCAAAACCAAAAGAGGAAAAATAAGTTTTGTTATAATTTTATTTATAAAAATGAAAACAACTAAAGATTTATAAATTTAAAATAGGTAATAAAAACCCATTAAATTATTATTTTGTCCAAAAAGTTTTTAATAAATTAAAATAAAGTAAAAAATAGCCTAACAAATTTAATTACTTTTTAATTTAATTCTTTATGGGCACTTTAAATTAGATTTCCGTTTGTAATAAATTCAATAATGTAAAATAATACTTAAACATATAATATCAAAATTAATTTTCACATTTAAAAATAAAAAAGAAAGTTTTGTTTCA